CTCAAGACCTAAGGAGTCTAACAATGTGATCTATTTGTATCTGCGACGCTCCGTTCGCGAGCTATTCCAAAAACAAATCTGTTTTCTTAGTGGTAACGCCCTGTAGATTCACTTGTTGTGTATAACTTACAAGTATCAGATTTGATTATCATATCTTAATTCAATGTTATTAATCATTGCTACTCTGGACTATTGTAATTCATCATGATTAATTTGGATTATTGTTGATTATTTACCAAATCATAAACAACATGATTCTAAGTTTAGCTAAATTGTGAACAGTTAGTTGATTTTGAAAAGTTTTTCATTTACTCTTGGTTAGTTAATTTTTACGATTAGTGAAAATAAAAGTTTCAGATAATTTTGATGGTAACTAACTATTGTTAAATTGTTAGTGTACTTTTGATTGCTGTTCACAATTAAATCACAAATCATTTTTACTTATCAGTTATAATTTGATTTGATCAAATTGATCATAATTAACCAGGTGAACCAATTTAGCTATTAATATTTAAGGTTTCATCTATATACAGATAATTATATTGTAATCATCACAATTAAAGATGATTAGTGAGATACCAAAATAATGTAATCAAATTGATTGTTCATCACCAAGGGAAAATATCTGAAAGAATTACTTGTCTTGAAGGTAATACAAATTATCCTTAACAATTTGGTGATTAAAGTATCACAATTAGTAACAATTAACAGAAAATTTAATATATAGAAATTGATAATAATCAATGGTCTTAATCATTTGGCAGACATAAAAGTTCATCAATTCCGAATCAAATTAAATGTATTAGAAACATTTAGAGGAGCAAATTTCTGGTTCAATTTTTCAAGTCAGTTAATTTTGCCATTAAGAGCAAAAAAGGTGATAGTTAACCGGAGATTTGATAAATTGTTGTTAATAAATTGTCAGCAATGATAGTTAAACAGGTAAACAGCATTAGTATCATATAAAATTACAGATAAATTGTTATAAAAATTAAGGTAAACCCAAAGTAAAGTTTAACTTGGTGTTTAAATTGATGAAGAAAATGAAACTTTTTTTAGCATCTTCATCAGAGTTTGTCATCTATGGACTATTGAGGTTTTTTTATGATGTGTCTCTTTAAATTGTCAACTTAATGATTTAACTTGGAACGGATAATTTAACTCACAATCGAAAGTGTTGGCTCTTTTTTTTCCTTAGTAAATTGTCCCCTACTAATTGTCTCAACAATCACCATAATCATCATGATCATTAAGTGAAACTTTCTTTCTACCACTCAAGTAATAAGATCTGATGATTATGTTGATATAATAATTTTCTTTTCTGTCATCATCAACAATTTACGCCCTTAATCATGTTTACTTTGAATTGAACGATTCCATACCTGGAATTGAGAACAAATATGAATTATCTTCCTTCGCAAAATATTATCATCATGATGAAAATTTACGATTCTTATATTCCAGTGAACTTATTATTATGATTTTCCAAACATTAACTCACTTAACTTGCAATTGTATCTTCCTCATAGACCCAATTCAATATATTGTTGATCTTGTTCATCTAAAACTTATTATCATCAATTGTTGATTGTTGATTGTTGTTGTTTTTGTAGTTCACTGGTTCCTGTAAGTAGGATGATAATAGTCAAATTTTTTCTCTTATTCTTGTTTATTTCTGTGAAAAAAACAATTCTTTTCTATTCCAATGAATAGTATCATCTCATCACATGATTATGTGAAATATTTTGCAATCATATTAACACGTAAATTGATGATATTACTTTTTTTCCCTTTGATTAATGATTCCAGTTCTAGTTATCATGATATATCATTTTTGGAACCAGTTTGTTGATTATTTATGGTTTTGTCTTAATCATTTTTGCTTCACTTTTTGTATCTATCATTTTTGGATCAACTGGACCTTTTATCCGTCCTGTCATTTTGCCTCGATTTTCATACATTTACAATCGCCTATTGATTTGACCTTAATTGTGAAGATACTGATGAAGATGATGACGATGTTGGTGATGAGTATGTGCTTATCCAGAATAGCGAGAAAAAGTTAAAAAAAAAGTTCAACCAAAATCCAATTCGTTGAACAGTAAAATTTAATTTTACTTTTGGTTTCAACCGAGATTAATATTATATCTGAATGGGTCACACGTTATCAAAAAGGGAAAAAGTTTCGGGTTCGTTAATGGCAATCGGGTTTGGTTGATCTAAAATGATTTAAAGTTTCATCTGAATTAAAATCAACATGATTGTTGATGTTTTTTTTTTCTTGTTGTTGCTTTCATGTTTTACTCAAAAAGATGAACACAATCAATAATAATTCTTGTTGATTGAAAAAAAAACGAATTGATAATAATACTGATATACTGATGATGCTTGATTATTATCGGAATCAACCAAAATTAGGTGCTAAATCAAGCAAGTCGGTGCGTGTTCAGAATTTGATAATCATGTTTAGTTTAATGTTCGTCGATGTAAAACATATTGATTATGGACTTACAATTAGTCTGATCAATAATAATGGCTAATTTAAGGTAATGATAGTGGAAGAGATTTTCTAATAAATCAAGTTTACAATTTTTCATTTTCAACAATTAACATTAACTGTTTCCAAATAATCATTTGTAAGATTTTCAATGATATCAACAATCTTTAAATCTTTAAATTGTAATCTAATCAAACTTAATCCCTAGATAATTTAGTCTACCTGAAATTGGACGCAAAAATTGTTTTAAATTGTCAAACCAATTAGTTAATTGTTGAAAGAAATTACATATTTACTTTCTTTATTATAATAAGAAAAATCTATTGATTCAATAACAATCAACGAAGGTCATTATATGTCGTGAGTGTAATGAATTCAATTGATTGAATGGATAGTGTATTAAGTTAATCTATTGCACGAACTGCGTGACAATCCTATTAAGAGATTGATCAAATCTATTATTTCCTATTGATTAACCTGAGACACTATCATCAGGAAAGTGTATTGGTGATTACAAATTATCAAGATTAGTAATTGATAGTTGACATAGTTGCCGAGGTCAATTGATTAAATCACATTGTGACCTGACTATTTAAAAAGGTGATCTAAAGCTTATCCTCTACTTAAAGAGTACTATTAATAATTTCTGATTAACTTAAAGTATGAATTAAATTGTAGATCAAGACACAGGATATTAATGTTTTTTTCTTGTATTAGCTAATTGTGAAAATGATTATTTGATTGTAATGATCATGATACGAAAATGTTAATCATTGGAAGGTTAAATTGTGAACTAAAACCTCAATTGATCGCAAGTTAAATCGGAATTAAAACAATGTTACTTTTTGATCAACTCACGATTTGTGATGATAATTAATTGTTTTGTTAATCAAATCCTGGTTCATTTAATTGCTATCCTTTGAATTTTTATATTATATTACTAATTTTGGGCACAATCAACTCCATTTAATGGTTATCCCAGCAATTAAATTTCCCTCTTCTGTTTTGATTACCAGAAATTGTTAATTGTTGATTATTTAATTACTAATATTTGACTCTTATCACTATTAGGCTTAAATATAGAGACTAATTGTTACAATTAAATTTGCATTCGCAGTTAATAAAGTTGAATATTGTCACCATTCAAACAATCAAAACAACACAGAAACAAGTTACAATTTATTATTATTATTATTACAATTAAATGATTACTATTAGATGATAATTTTAATGATGATAATATTAATAATAATCAAATGATTTCCTTAATTATTGTTTAACTAAATTTGTCAGGATGTAATTTGATTTCCTACTAAATTGTGTTTAATTTTTTTTTCATCCATTCATTCAAATTGGATAATAGTCAATCGTAGCATTATAATCAAGTTAATCTAGATACAATTTAGCAACAATTAAATTTGATTACAAAATGCTGCTCATTGAGGTTAGATTTTTGATTTTCTGTTGCTCAAATATTTGATCAGCTTAAAGTTATCGCTCTCATTGTGTTGATTAATATCTAATTGTTACATTTGATTTGATTGATGGAGGAACCAAAATCATTGACGACAACCTTTGAATTTGATTCACTTACATTATCATTAAATTAACTTTCACTTCAATTGTGATGATAGAAAATTTAACAATACACCTATTAAATTGCAATTAACGTTTCTACGTAATTAATTACGATAATTTTATCTTAATTTATGTACTCACTTCAAATTCAACTCAGAATTGTATATTATTATTAGGAAATGAGCAATTTAAATAAGATTAACTCGCTAATAACTATGATGATGATTATCACGATTAACTCAAAAGGATTAAGGATGAAACCTTATTAATTAGAATAATGTTTTCCGATCCAGTTTAAATTGGGAAAGATTAAGTTAATGATTATATTTTTACAACAAACTTTTGATTGAAAACTGTCATCACTCAAAAGTTAAACTACAATTAACTTTGATTAAGATTCATTAAAGACAATTTCCGTCCATCAATTAAATTGCTCAACATAGATTGTTACCTCTTTTCTTGATTGACCACAAGTGATACCTAAAAATTGTATCATGAACTTAAAACTTATTAACTTAAGTTGATTAGTACTTTTAAAAAACTACTATTAACTTATCTTCATCATGATCAATATTTAATTGGTCACAATAGAAACGCAATTACAATTTAATACAAATTTAATCATATCAAGTGTCACGCAATCAGATACAAGTATTTTTCTTGATTCTTCCCAATTAAAGTCACGGAAACTCATAGGGAGAAATTAACTAATTAAGTTGAATTATTACCTGGAATTGTAATCAAATGAAATTTCCAGTGACTCTGCACAAGTAATTAAATTTTGTTTGCAAAAAAAAGTGAAACGAATTGACTTTTAGTCGCTAATTGTTTACAATGATATTTATCAACTCTCTTCCTTATTTTAATCAACTAATTGTTTCAACCAGACTATTAATTGTTTCTTTTTCTATTGTCTCTCTTAAAGGTGATCGTATCATGAGTATAACGGTTTCCTGTGAGAAAATGGTTTACGAAGATGCCCTGACCATCCTCAGTTATGCTTCGCCTTATGATGTGACCCTTCAGGTCGAGAAAACGTCCAAAAGCAAAGCGACCACACCTAACGGCTTGACCAGCAATGGACATATTTACATGCCTCGTCGATATGCTAACGGATTCACTGGTTCTTCTGATCCATCTAATCATCGGATTTTACATCCAGTTTTCCGTAGTCATTCAGTTGGTGAATTAACGACTCGTTTAAATGGCAGTGGTGGAGTTGGAGGAAGTGGTGATGATGATAAACCACCATCAAGTTTAGAGGAGAAAAGTTTTGGAAGTATTAAAAGTATCAACAGTTTATTGAGGAAAATAAAAACTTCACTTTATCGGTCAACCGCAAGCATAAAATCCAATCAATCGGGAAAGATGACCACTGATTACTGTAGCACTAATGGTTTAAATGATGGTTCTGAGGGTGGTTATCATCATTCATGCTATTCACTGGATGCGTCCGGTTTAATGAATGGTCAAATATCTTCAAGTTCCAGTTACATTTTACCCTCACCAACAAATAATACAAAATCTGAAGAAATTGCAATCAACATGAGCCCAAAAGAGCCAATGGTTACTTCAATTAAACATTTATCTTCATCAATTCCTATTGATGAGATGGTTAATAACTTACCACAGGATAAAAATGAACCAATAAATGAGAAACCAGTATTTGATGAGCCGATGATAATGATACCCCATGGATCACCCACCGATATTGATCAACCTAGAAAGTTGAACCAGGGGAAACGTAAAGCTCCCGCTCCTCCATCACCCTCATCATCAGTTTGTTCAATTGAAATGAAACCTGGATCCATTGATGGGAGAGATGTCATTGATGATGGTACTCTGTTGATTGTCAAAAATCATAGAAATGAACAGAGATCAACTACTCCAGGAGGATCTAAGGTTGAAACTCATGCAGATATTCATCAAGAACAGGGTAGTTCAGAAGATTTCAATATGCTTCAAGGTCAATCTTTATCCGACATCAGTGAGATCAAATCCCCGGCCATTGATGCTTCAATGAGTTTGGCAATCGAATCATTAACGAGTGATGAATCTATAACTGAACCTTTAGCAGTTAATTTGGTTAAAGAAATTAAAACTGATGGTCGAACTGGTCGAGCTCCTAGTCCAGCAAATGGTAAATCAAGATCGTGCTCCATGTCAGATTTAACCTTGGTCAAGAATAAGAAGCCAACATCAACAATTATCTTGGAGAGAGCAGTTTCTCTCGATTTGAGAGATCAACTTGGACCCGAGGAAAATAAGATACTTCAACAAGGAACTTTGGTTGAAGATAATGAAGGATTACTGAGGTGGAGTGAATCTAAGCCACCAGTAAATGGACCTGATAGTCTATCGACAACATACTCATCTGAAATGCTGGGATCAAATAGTAAAACAAACGACTTTACTGACGATTCATTGACAATTACGATTGACGAAAGTTCAGATAAACTCATTGCACCCAAACCAGCAGAAAGAACGAGTCTTAAAAGAAATAGTCTTTCCAACTCAACTGATTCTCGATTAAGATCAAGCAGTAAATTTGAAACAACGGACATGACCATAAGTGAAGAAGAAAATATTGTCGCACCACCCGATGGATTTGGTCCAGATCATCAACACCATCAATCGCAAATTGCTTCTTCATCTAAACCATCAGTAGAAGATTTCAAATTAAAATCTTATCTCAATACAAATTCTCAGATGGAACCAGAGGATTTACCTTATGATGATAATGTAACACAAAAAGTACAACCGAATAAATTAACTACAATCAATGGGTCAGCAAAAAGTGTTCACCATGATAAAAGTACGATTAATACTCATGAGATGAAACCTCCAACACCGGAAAAACCCTCAACTTTATCAAGTAAATACGAGAAACTTTCACCATCACAGGAGAGATTAGATTCAACGATATTCGCCGTTCCAACGAAAATTGAAACATCTCCATTATTTAAAGACGAAAACAAATCTCCTGTGAACGGAATAAGCAACCCAAAAGAAGGAGACAAAAGTGATAACGATGATAATATTCATGGGCAAACTGACTCATCTTCATCATCATCAACAAATAATAATAAATATCCCGATGAACCTGAAGTAATTGAAATAAGTCCAAATGAATTAAGTCAAGTGATGATGTCGCATGAAGAGTTTCTTGCTCATAAAAGTAAACTCTCTTATGGAAAATTACCCAAAACTAACTGTAACACTAATCTAATTAATAAATCTGGTTTAAATGGGATTGGAGGAATTGGCCATAGTATTGGATCAAAGGTACCACCATCAACGATCATCCAAATTGGTGAAACCGGTGACAACGATTTCGAATCATGGAGTTACTTGAGTGATGTTGAAAGTAATCTTCCAAGTTTATCAAATGAAGCTCGTTACAAGACGACCTGTGATATGGGTCAATTAAATGATGGATCAGCTGATGAGATGCTAATTAAAAAAGTTTAACCGTTAAAATTGGATACAAAATGTTATTCAGATTAAATTGTATTGCCAAAGATCGTTTCAACGAGATTATCTGGAGAATGTTGGATTCAGTCAATCAATTAATGAATCTCAGGATTGGATTAACATTCAAGTAACAAACTGACCAACAAATAGCCATATACAAAGGAGGCCAAATTGATCACCGAGCATGAAGATTAAACTTTGATTAAATTGATTGTTGATTCACCAAAGTAAAAGTGTTAATTCTTTGAATTAGAATAACGTCTACTACGAAGTGAACGCTAACAATTTGGACTCTACGAATCTAATCTTGACCTCCGTCCATCGCCATTGATATTCACCGTAATTCCTACTAAGCCATTATTTTGTTTTACTTTGTAATTTTTTTCTAATCATCAAATCTCACTCACCAATTAACACCTAAGCCAATTTGTTGTCTGTCAATCCTTTTTGATGATATGACAATAATTAAATTTGGTTAAAAAAATTAATTTAATTAACATTAACATTCCTCATCGTTAATCAATCTATGTCAATTAATTTTACCAGAAAAGAAAACAATTGAATTAATTATAATCCCGTCATTCTTGAAAATCAACACACGAAAACCTTTTTAATGTTTGGTAATCAAGTTAACTACAAATCTGTTGAAATTGAATGACTATTTTAATTCAAATGTTGATTAAGATATTATTTTCTAATTATTAATAATCAATGTAAATCAAGAAAATAAAGCAAACTATTAATTGTGTGTGGCCTTTTAGGTAATCAAATTGTAAAACTTTTCATTGTAAAAACAAGACTTGATTGTTTCGATCATCTTCCATAATAATAATCTTATTGTAAATCAATTCTGTTGGCGATTTATTATTCAGTAAGAATTTAGACCAAAATCCGATTCGATGCATCAAAGTAACGAATTAAGTGAAATAATACCAGATAGTGAATTGGTGAGATTATCTCGAATATAACGAATAAAAGAAGAACTCGAAGAAAAAGTTTCCGAAAGTTTTTATCGAGCACAAATTCAATCAGAATACTTTGTTTATCTGAAGATCAGAATATTAGAAACGAAGAAAATTTATTACAATTATGAGATTAGAATCTATCATGACTTTCGACAAATGTTCCCAATGTATCTTGTGTGGCCGTTTGATGAATCGAAGCTCTCAAAGCATTTTTACAATAAACTAAGAATACAAAGAATAGGAGTATGAAGCATAAGCCCAGAGCACCGATATAATATAAAAACACTATCATATTGTTGGACATTAGAGTCGCAACTATGGCTGGATGAGCAGATTCACCGATCAAACCAACGAATAATATGAATGAGGTCATCCTAGAGGTCACATTGACATACTTGTTCAACATACCATAAGATGAAGCAAATATCGGTGATATACCGACACCAATAAGAGTGAATCCGATCCACATGCAAGTTTCATCATAAAGAGCCCAAGGAACAGTGACAAATATACCACAAAGGGAAATAATTAAGGCGATAATTTGTAGTTTAGCTTCTCCAATGATGAAAGTCAAAGGTATATAAATCAGTCGAGTGAATGAGAAACAAGACCAGAAAACGGTTGCGACCAAAACACTGAGCTTTTTGTCCATATGAAGATCAGATCTAACCGAAAACGGAGTAACCAAAGAGCCTAATAAACATTAAAATATCAATGATTAATAAAATTGTCAAATCAATACAAATAAATTGTATATGGTAATTTACCAATTATTCCTTCGAGACTGATAACTGCATGGTTGATTCCAGCGACCATCAAAACGGCCACGTAGGTTTTAAGTTTACTTGGACTTCGAGCTTCGATTTGGTCTTTTGGTTGTTGGTTCGATTGATCTGGTGAATTTAAAGTCTTACGATCTTTAAAAATATAAATGATCATCAACGGAATCGACGTGAGCATTGGAATCGATGCAATACTCAAGAAAGCATATTTAACAATCACATCTTCACTTGAGTACCTTCTATTAAATTTAAAATCGGTGTTAGTTTCACTTTCTACTGAATCTTCATTGGGTAACAAGAAGAGTCTTGAAATCACTGGTGCTGTCAGAGCACCAATACCAACGGACATGTGGAGTATTTGTAAAAAATTGGCACATTCATCTTTCCATATCTGAGTTAACCAAAGGTTACACACTGAAAATTGAAATGTTCGAAACTTTAAGTCAACTATCATTAATGATTGAAAACAATTAACAAGTTCTAGCCTTACAAACTTCAGCTACCCCCAGACTTGTTCCAACAATAAAAAAACATATCGCCATAAATTCAAACTTCACCAAAATGGGTCCAAGTCCAAGAAATACTCCAGTTATTAGATTGGACATTGATAATATGAACGATGCTTCGAACTTTTCATTCAAGACACTGGCTGAAAATGGATACAATTAGAATTTACATGCAATTTAGTCAATGAATACAAGCTTACCGATAAGTGTACCAACGATTTGACCACAAGACTTTAAGGTTACAAGTTGAGAGATTTTGGTAAACTTCACATCAGCGAGAATTTGTAAATCAAGTAGACTAGACCCTAAAAGGGCCATCGCACTTCCTAAGGTGAAAAATGTTGTGTAAGTAAGAAAAGATTTGAGCAAATAAAGATAATTATTGACTGGAATCTTTGGAAACTTCATTTTCTTAGGAAAAGATTTTACAATACGATTAATCAAATTCACTAAGAATTGGAGAAAACAAAAACTTGAGAAGGGTAATTCTCTATGACATCTTCGTAAATGAGAACAATATTTATATCGATACGATAAGTATTAAATTTATTGATGTTTTCTGAATTATATGTCTGAAAGGTTATTCCATTATTACCACTATATGAATTCAATGCTGGAGAAAAATTATATTAAGGCTTATTTGTGATTTAAATCAGTTGATGTATCTAATCTATATGCATAAATTAAATAAAGAGGCCAGCAAAAAAATCATCGATTAGATATGTTACCGATTAACCGATTCTTATTTATTAATATTTTATATTTTATTAATACAGTCGGAGAAAATGCGTTTGACAGTGGTTTTAAATCATTCACGCAGGTATCTCAAGGGAAGCGATAATCACAATTAATCCAATTCAACCTTATCAATATTTAAATAACAAAGAGCATTGAAATCAAACAATTAGTAACCACATTGACGATTGTTTTGATTGTTAGTTTTGTTGTTCAATTTAATTATGCCTAAAGCTTATGACCTTTAGGCAAGAAATCAAGCGATTTACTTATTTCATCATTATCATAGTAACTTTGAAATTTCTCAGGAGTTAGATGTTGGAATCAGAACAATTGATAGATGGAGAAGTTACTACAGGCAAAGAGGTAATTTGGACAATGTTTACGTGAATTGTAAATCATCAAGTGTTTTGTCATCAGATGATCAACTCAATATCTTATTGAAACACCATGAAGACCCTGCGAAACCAGCAACAGTAATTAAAAAAGAGTTAGAGCTTGAGTGTTGTCCAAGAAAAATCAACAATTGCCTGAAAATACATGGTATTAAATCTCATCATGCGGCGATAAAATCAAATCTTTTCGCTGTTAATAGACAGAATAAAGTAGTTTGGTCTCAATAAAATCCTGATGTTGATTGGAGAGAATGTATTTTCGTTGATGAATGTTGTATTTTATAAGAAAAAAATGGAATAAGAATTGTAAAAAGGCCAAGAGGTGAAAGATACAATGAAAAGTTTATCAATTACTCAGATCATTGCTGTCTTAAAGTTGCTTCAGTTTGGGAGGCAATTACTTACCATGGATTAGGCCCTATTGTTTTCCTTGACTCGAGATTAGATTCTGATACTTATTGTGAAATACTTTCTACCTATGGTTTAAATTTGATCAAAGATCGTTTTGGTTCATCTTTATGTTATTGGATACATGATAATTTCCCTGCTCATAAAACCAGAATAATACCTGAGTTCTTTCAATAGTGAAGGCTCACCTCAAAGTGCTAATTGTGGATTATTAACATCAGCCCCTTACTTTCCGGACTTGAATCAAATAGAAAACGTTTGGGGACTAATAAAAAAGGATTTACTGAATTCAAATGAATTAGCAACAACAACGGAAGAAATGAAAACACCAATTATCAATTGGTGGTCAACTAAACAATTAGACTCAAATTTTTGGCTGAACTTCGGATTAAGTCTGCACGTTTAGAGACCTGAAATTTTGTACACATAGCTCATGTCAAACCACATATTATGTGCGAGTGTTGAATTTGAGAAAGATCTAGTTCCTGAGATACAGGGCTTCAAAGTTGGATTTTGTCCATGGAGCTCTAAGGGCAAAAATCAAGTTTTCTTATATGCATACTAATGCTTTTTACCTCTTGATTTTTGTATGTTATACCTTATGGTATGAAGTATTATAAAGATAAAAATTAAGACTCTAGCTATGACGGGTGAGCACTGCATATATAAGTACTAAATTTGGTTGGACATGAAGTCAGGGTCACACAACAATGTCCATTAGATGTCCAATTGACCTTTTTAAAGATAAATATACAGGCGTTTTTTATCCACTACGGCTATTACACTGAATATCTCCAGAACTAAAAGTCAAATGAATGTCAGACTTGACCAGAGGACTGGAGAGAATTGAAGCGCTCGACCCTACGTTTTTCAAGGTCATTGAGGTTATTTAACGAAGGTAGCATTTAAAGGTCGTTTTAAGGTCGTCGTGTGAAAGAGCAAATCAAATTACACCTCAGATTTTATTTTGAAGTGTCTGTGATGAACGGATTACAAGATAGGCATGTTTCAATCTGAAAACACTTTAAGAGTTGCGTTTATAAGAAAAGTCGGTAACATCTTAGTTTATGGTAGTGGGCGTGATCATTTTCTAATTACCACATTTATCCCTTTCGATTAATTGATTTTACATACGAGTTAGTCTACAATATCTTCTGTTTGTTGTTTTAAACATGGTTGATTTCAGTGATATAAATTTTTCAAAACTAAATTTAGAAAATTTTAATAGTTTAATTACTAGAGAAGATGAAGTTCTACCTGGTTTCGAGTTTTGCAAATACTTTGGATTAATATCTTCTCCTCGACAACATGTATGTGTTAACCCAAAATGTGACGGTGAAATGTTTCTTCAAAAAAGATCTCAACTAAAATTGAAATTTCGATATTTTTGCCATAAATGCAATCAAACAGTTAATTTGGCTCAATACACTTGGTTCAGTAATAGTCACTTATCAATTCTACTTTCTCTTAAATCAATTTACCTATGGACATCGAAATGTACTGTCCTTTTCACTGCAACTGCTCTTGGTTTAAATAGAAATACTGTTGTCAATCAGTTTTCAATGCTGCGAGAATTATGTATCAACAAGTGTACGTTTAACAATAGTAAGATTGGTGGTGAAGGTGAAGAAGTTGAAATTGATGAAACTAAAGTCTTCCATAGGAAAAACCATAAGGGACGATTATTGTTAAGCGAGAAAAAAAAATCTTGGGTCATCGGTGGAATCGAACGGAACTCGAATGCTTGTTTTGCTGAATTAGTTCCTGATCGAGGTTCAGAGACGATAAAAGAATTGGTTCTGAGAAGAGTAGAAAAGAAAACACGTATTCTAACAGATAGATGGAAAGCCTATCTCTGTTTGCGGCAATTGGGTTATACCGTTGATCAAGTTAATCATTCAAAAAATTTTGTGGATCCAAGTGATCGTACCATAAATACACAAGAAATTGAGTGATCATGGAGATCATTGAAAAAGTGTTTACCAAAGAGTAGTAGTGGTGAAAAGAGATCAACATATATCGAAGAGTTTGTTTACAGAAAAACTTATTTCAGCAGAAACATTGGAGAAAATTTCAAACTCTTATTGAAAGATATTGCCGAGTTTTATCCTGGTTGTTTCTTGGATTAAATCAATTAATCGAAAGGGATAAATGTGGTAATTAGAAAATAATCACGCCCACTACCATAAACTAAGATGTTACCGAAAAGTCTGTATCTCCGCTTCCTTTTGACGGAATATCATCAAACCTTAGGTTTGAGTGTAACTTTTTGTGCTCTTTCACACTACGAACTTAAAATGACCTTCGTTAAATGACCTCAATGACCTTGAAAAACTTAGGATCGAGCGCTCCAATTCTGTTTAGTCCTCTGGTCAAGTCTGACATTCATATGACTTTTAGTTCTGGAGATATTCAGTGTAATAGCCGTAGTGGATAAAAAAATGCCCTGTAGTTAATTTAATTTAATTAGTAACCAAATCAATAAGATTATTAATGGAAAGAGTAAACACAATAATATGATTACCTTGATCGTACTTAATTGAATTTCGAAAGTAAATACTCTTTCACTTGTTTTTCGTCTTTTGCTATCAATAATTATACTATTGATAACTAATTCAAAATATTCTTGATTCATTCAACAACAACAGATACATAACAAACATAACCAGCAACAGCAAGTTTTACACATTTCTTAATCGATGACTTATTAATTTAATATTTGAATTAGTTTGATTAATTCAATTAATTCGACTCGATTCAACAATTAGTAGATAGTTAAGTTAAACTTGATTCAGTTCAATGATTGATTAATAATTCAATTACCTTTGATTTAGTTAATTAATTCTGGAAAAATTTGAAGTTAATTAATTCAGGAGATGATTCAAGTTGATTAATTCTAAAGGTGGCTAATTAGTTCTGGAAGTGATTGACTCAATTTGATAAATTCCGAAAGGAGATCTGATTAATTATGAAGGTGACTAATTAATTCTGGAAGTGATTGACTCAATTTGATTTATTCCTAAAGGTGATCTGATTAATTCTGGAAGTGAATGACTTAATCTGACTAATTCTGGATTGAGCTTAGTTAATTCGGTAATCAATTACTTTATTTCTGAGATGGTGGATTTAATCAATTTTGATTTATTTATTTCACTTTATCAATACTTGATTAATTCAGACGGTGAACTCTCTGGGTTTTCACTGTACAATCCATTATTATTAACCTTTCATTCACTCAACACTTGGTTTATTACAACTTGAGAACTTTCGCTATTGAGTTTTGTCAAATAAGATAATGATTAAATTAGTTTATAAACCGTATCTTATTCAATTGATTAGTTTGTTGTTAATAGTTCGAAAAAATAACCGTTTAAGTTTACCTTTTAGATCTGCAAGTGATTTAATATCACCGCCAATATTATTGTAATACATATTGTAACATATACTTATCTTAAATTGCCAAGAAATTTCCAAAATTTGCTTCCAATTATCTAATGGCCATCAAGTTATGGAATAATTTACCTTTTACTGCGATTTTGTTAATTTCCAATTTTTTATTAATTTGTTTGAAATCAAATATTTTCTTATTACTTAATGGATCTTAGGAGAAATATTTATTGTCTTCTTTTATTTAATATCTAAAATCAAAAGGTAGTGCGTAGATTCATGTGATATTTATTTTCAGTTATTTAAATGATTCCACTATTGATTAAAACTCGATTAATTGAGGTCGTTTCATACCTACAATCGATCCTCACAACACCTTACACTATAAGGTAAACTCACTTGTTATCTAACCCACTGATTTGGCTATCACCAATAGTCACAACACTTCAAATATTAGGTGATAGGGTTTAGTTTTAGATCACTCAATAAGTTTGAGTTAATTCTCACAATATTTAACACAATTTGTTATTAATTTGTACGCAAAGGTCACCTTGATGAACAACACCAAATGTAATTAGCCTTTAAAAGAACTTAAAATTATTCACTTTATATCATGTAATTCACTTTATATCATATAATTCACTTTAGATATACTTTAAACATAATAAATCACAATTTAAACTATTAACTCAATCCCCGTAAGGGTGCCAAATGGACGGAAAGTTCATTAATTCAATGAGAATAAACTACTTTTATTCATTTTTCCATGGTTTTAAAATGGCCGAAATCAGACCATTTTATGGTTACAAGAGGGAGAAAAACTTCTCTCTCTATTTTAGCCTCATCATCATCATCAGCAATAATTAGCCAATAGAAGAGACCAGGTACCACGTGAGAGGTGGTACCTGGTTGTGTTACATTCAAAATGGGTACAACTAGTTTGTTGCATCTACTATAAATAGAGATAAGATTGTGATGGGAGGGTGGACTTGATTATACTTGAATCATCATGATTGTTGTTGCTGATTTAATCAACAAAAGTTAGTTATTAATATTAATTTAGTAACAATGGTGAGTGAATGTTGATGTTGATTGTGGTAAACAATCAATCAGTTTGGTTTAGACCTTCAACCAGAGATGGTTTCAATACTTGAAATCAAATCATTATAATTAATAAATAAAGTTTGAACTTAATCAAATTAAGATTTGATTCCCTTTTCAGAATTTCTCTTAATTAGTTATATTCCCGTGGAAGTGAATTAAATTGGAATTCATATTTTGTATCAAATTGGAATTAACTAAATAAGTGAAAATTTTGCTATTCCCTGTTTCTGTGTTTGGACCGCTGAAGCTGAACTCTTTTATTTTATAAATATAATAAAGATAAATACAATAAATACAATAAATAATTATTGATTGCAATATAGAGAAGAACAATGAAGATGAAGTTGAAATGAAGAAGACTAAAAAGTTTAATTTAATCCTAAAAACAGAAAAGCACATTGAAAAAAAGAGTTCAAATACTTGAACTGCAAATTATTATTGGTTTTTCGCTAATGAGAGTCTTACTCATTTGATCTCTTGTTTTATATGCAAACTGAGTAGTTGATTCAAAGTCAATGCGCATGTATCCATCTTTGCTTATTGCAGAATTGGTATGTTTTTTTCTTGCCTGAATAAAAACAAACCTAATAATTCCAAGAAAATTCTAATTGCCTTTTGTCGATTCGGACAAAATTATTGAGTAATTGTTACTTTTCACTTATTTATGTGTGAAAAGGTTAATAAACAGATGTCAACTAATTGGCTTTTTCAGAAGCGTTGATGATTACTAAAACTGAACTCTAATGTTCTCCAAGTATTGATTAAAATGCACATTTTATCATAATATGCAACTGGCACTCTCTTCCACTTAGCACTAATAAATCTTCAACCAACAATCACCAAGAAAATTGATTGCTAGCTCAAACAGATGTGGTGATTTTCTCTCCAATGCGCTTTAGTGTTTTATTTTTTTCTTGAAGGTAATCTCAAAAAGTGCTTATAATCCAACTAATTGGCTTTTCGCAGAAGCAATAAAAAACTATAATCTCAAAGTTTTCAACACCAATTTTTCACCTTATAATAAGTTTTAGTTAAAACTGCTGACCATACATAAAAATTTTTAGAAAAAATTATTGAGGTCGATATTCTCTTTGTTATTGTTTACAAGATTGTTTACAAGATCATACGCAAAGGAATCGTCGACTACTAGAAGATTGGTCCAAACTCCTACGGTTAGAGATCCGGCGGTTCGCAATTAGTGGTACTATTGGGATTTCGTTCCAGGTTTCTTGCGTGCTCTGTAAACTCTTTTATCGAGGTAGGATTTAGTCCATATAACACGGTCTTTATATCTGCTCTAACACCTTCGAATAGGTGACGAATAGTTTCTTTCTCATTTTTATTCAATTTACTACATAATTCCTTAACGTCAATTATAAATTTAGTGACCGGTTCATCTAAACGTTGTTTTCTACTCGATAATTGTTGATTAATACATATTTAATATTCGGAGGGTAAAAAGGTCGATTTGAAATCCGATACGAATTCATCCCAAGTATAATTAGGGTCACTTAGATGTGGACGTATGTCTTGTTGAAACCAAGAAGCAGCAGTATCTTTGAGATACAGACTTACCCTATCGAGCCGTTCCTTATCGTTCCAGCCATATACTTGGGCCATTGAGGTGAACTTGGTGATGAATTTAAGTGCTTCATTGCTGAAAGCACCACTAAACGATGGTATTTTTGGACCACGAGGTGGGGCCAAGGACAAGGGTTTTCTTTCGGCCATGGTGAAATAGGTAAGCGTTTCAAGGTCAGGACTTGAGGTCATAAAGCGAAGATAACACAAGGACAAAGAGAAAAAAAAGAAATTCACGGAACAGGATATAACCAAGTTGTTTTGATCTCAAGGGTGATAAAGTTGACCACTGACTTGAGATCTCGGTGGGACCTCCAAATGTAAAGATGATGAGGATGATGAAATTTGGAATTGATTTATTTTAACTTAGCACAAACGTTAATTTCTTCACAATTTCGATAAAACAAATTACAACTTTTTTTGTTCACTTTGATGAGGATAATCAGACACAACCAATTTCAACTAAGATCGGGACAAAAACCAGACTAACTTTTCTGGTTATTCAACCTTATTTTTATATCAAAATTTTCTCTCTTTCTATTTTCTCTGTCTACAATTTGTGGCACTTTGACTTTTCTTCTCATTATCACCTTGATCTTTATTTGTTTTTCTCGTAACAATTTCTTAATTAAAAACGACTTTGTTTAACGAATTCTTCACATCATCTCAATTATCCCACAAAATAATAGCATTATAAAGTGTATATCACTCATGTACATTACATACATCGTTGATAATAATATTGACTGTGTATAATGTATCTATGATTTTTTCATTGGTTGTATATTGATTTGTACTCAAATGTCTCTTTGTTAATTACAATGAAAACATTTTACTTCAGTTAATCCTTGCACAAACAGCTAATGACCATTTTCGAATCATTGGTTTCAACAAGAGAGAATATTAAGACCGGATGTTGAGGAAAAAAGTTAATACTTCTATGTTATCTTTTGTCTTTTGACAGTTTCTGTAACTCATCAATGACATCTGGTCAGTTAATGTCTTCTGAAGAAACTGACTGTTGTTGAAGAAAAAAGATCATCTTTGAGAAGCTCACTTATAATTTTTTTAAGTTAGAACAAGTTCAACAGTTTTCATCAATCTCAAATTAAACTTAACCTTCTTACTGAATCATCATGAAAATACAAAAAAATAACAGGTAAAGAATCAATACTATTAGTATTATTTCGTTCACTAAATGTTTTACAAATTTATTAATCAATTACTTTTCTTTCCCCAGGTTTGACAATGGAAAAGGTGCTCCTTTGTCCAGAAAGATCAGACAAATAATATCCGTGTTGAAACATAAATCGATTGGAAGCAACATTTTCAACAAATCCGAGATCATCTCCTTGAAACGTGTTCTTTTTCAGTGCTTATTCGTCATCCGGAAGGAAAGTGCACTCAATTATTCAGATGAATTCGATAGTGATCAATAAACCAAGGAATTTCTATTATTCATCTTAATTGTGTTTGTGACAAATGATTTAGTGACAATTAAAATTATTTGTCTAATCAACTATGATTAATGTTTATCATTTTATTCAGTCCTGGTCTGGTGATTTTCGCGCTCTTTTTGTCCCAAACCGGGCAGTTTTATTACTACTGACTAACTAATTAAGCGAACACCTAAATCAACATTAGATAATTTTCTCGATAACCTTTTAAGTTTCGGATCATTACAATATAAAGTGTCTTTACTACTATTTTGATTTATAATGAAAATGGCAAAAATAACAGATAAAGTATTACTACTATTAGTATTATTCTGCTCACTTAAATGTTATACAAATTTAATAATCAGTTACTTTTCTTTGAGAATAGAAAAGGTGTTCCCTTTTCCAGAAAGATTCGACTAATTATATCAGTGTTGAGAAACAAATCAAGTAGCAAATCAGCCAGTAGTTTATTACTACTAACCATTAACGCTCATCTTACTTATAATTGGAGTGGACGGGCATCTCATTAAGTTTCCAGTAAGTTTTTGAAATAACTCTGTGGTCTTTAGGTGTGTAGATTTCAAACGTGAGTAGCATAAGGACTTGAAAGAGAGTTTAAAAATTTAAAAATCTCAGTGTTAATTTGATAGAATAGTCAGGGTGCGAGTGTGATATTTATTTGCGTGATAAAATTGAGAATATACTAGAAAAATCTCCTTCAAAATCCGAGACTCAATTCTCTCAATTGTTCATACGAAGTTTTATTCAAAACGAACAGTACAAAATTTTATTTCAAAAGTAAATAGTTGGAAACAAACAGAAAAAATACAATTATGAGATTAGAATCTATCATGACTTTCGACAAATGTTCCCAATGTATCTTGTGTGGCCGTTTGATGAATCGAAGCTCTCAAAGCATTTTTACAATAAACTAAGAATACAAAGAATAGGAGTATGAAGCATAAGCCCAGAGCACCGATATAATATAAAAATACTATCATATTGTTGGACATTAGAGTCGCAACTATGGCTGGATGAGCAGATTCACCGATCAAACCAACGAATAATATGAATGAGGTCATCCTAGAGGTCACATTGACATACTTGTTCAACATACCATAAGATGAAGCAAATATCGGTGATATACCGACACCAATAAGAGTGAATCCGATCCACATGCAAGTTTCATCATAAAGAGCCCAAGGAACAGTGACAAATATACCACAAAGGGAAATAATTAAGGCGATAATTTGTAGTTTAGCTTCTCCAATGATGAAAGTCAAAGGTATATAAATCAGTCGAGTGAATGAGAAACAAGACCAGAAAACGGTTGCGACCAAAACACTGAGCTTTTTGTCCATATGAAGATCAGATCTAACCGAAAACGGAGTAACCAAAGAGCCTAATAAACATTAAAATATCAATGATTAATAAAATTGTCAAATCAATACAAATAAATTGTATATGGTAATTTACCAATTATTCCTTCGAGACTGATAACTGCATGGTTGATTCCAGCGACCATCAAAACGGCCACGTAGGTTTTAAGTTTACTTGGACTTCGAGCTTCGATTTGGTCTTTTGGTTGTTGGTTCGATTGATCTGGTGAACTTAAAGTCTTACGATCTTTAAAAATATAAATGATCATCAACGGAATCGACGTGAGTATTGGAATCGATGCAATACTCAAGAAAGCATATTTAACAATCACATCTTCACTTGAGTAGCTACTATTAATAAATTCAAAATCAATATCAATTTCACTTTCTATTAGATCTTCATTGGGTAACAAAAAGATTCTTGTTATCACTGGTGTTGTCAGTGCACCGATACCTCCCGACATATGAAGCATTTGTAAAAAGTTAGCACATTTATCTTTCCATATCTGAGTTAACCAAAGGTTACACACTAAACATCGTAAATATATGTAATCAAAGATTAGATTTTAATCAGTACAGTTAATCGTTATCAAAGACTTACAAACGTCAGCAACTCCAAGACTTGTTCCAACAATGAAAAAACATGTCGCCATAAATTCAAACTTCACCAAAATGGGCCCAAGTCCGAGAAATACTCCAGTTATTAGATTGGACATCGATAATATGAACGATGCTTCGAACTTTTCATTCAAGACACTGGCTGGAAATGGATACAATTAGAATTTACATGTAATTTAGTCAATGAATACAAGCTTACCGATAAGTGTACCAACGATTTGACCACAAGACTTTAAGGTTACAAGTTGAGAGATTTTGGTAAACTTCACATCAGCGAGAATTTGTAAATCAAGTAGACTAGACCCTAAAAGGGCCATCGTACATCCGGTGGTGAAAAATGTTGTGTAAGTAAGAAACGATTTGAACAAATTAAGATAATTGTTGACTAGAATCTTTGAAATTTTCATTTTGTCTCTGAACCTATGGGAAGGTGAAGATAAATTGAATTTGATTCGATATAAAAACGCTAATAAATATTAACTATTTCACGGAAATAGCTAAGACTATCGCAAGCCAACAGTAAGTTACTTAAAACAATTAACTACACAGTTAATCAAATTTACTAAAAATCAACTTAAATGAAATCATTGTTGATCGTTCAAGACAAATTCAATAGATGAGAAAATTTTTGGGTGAAAATTAAATTTAGATGCTGATTGTACCGAATGTGATATCGGTCTAAAAGTTAATTAACTAATCGTTCAAATGCTAAAAATTTATATTAACGCTCATTTGCAATTTAAATTAGTCAATTAATTAATTCTCAATAGATGAATAAATAAATTGGTTAAAGTTGTCAACAAAAAAGGTTAAATAAAAATCAATCGACGATTTATTAGTAATCATCTGGTTCTAGAAGCGTCATCATAAGTTTTACTTGTGGATTTGTGATCAACAATCAACAGGTTTTATAAACAATTAAAGTATTTACTCAAATAATGATTATTAACTGTATACTGAGAGGTGACTATGATTATCATGATCAAGGTTAATCTTCAGATTAAATTGATTGAGTTGATTGTTTTTCAAAGTCCCATGAAACCTTTAGATCTCTGAACTTTCAATATAATGATACATGTAATTAGAAAACAAATTACACAGAAAATGTCAATAGCTTCAGGAACTTGATGTCAAGAAAAGTTCAATTCCTCTGGTTCCCCCCATGTAACAACATCAGCCATTTAGTTGTAATGATTCACCCCCTTTGATAACAATTAAATTGATTGATTGTCACTCTGGAGGCCCAGTTGTTTTAATTGTTCAGAGTGACTGGAAACGTGAATGATATTGACGACACACTAATTAGATTGAGTCCAATTCAGTTAAAGATTTTCATTAAACATTGATATTAATAAGTTTTTGTCAACATGAAGATCTAGAGACTAAATATAAAACCATTTAAGAGACAGGAAATTGATTTAATCAATTCATCGACTATTGTTTTGATTAGTTAAAATATTACTATTGATTGTCAGGATCTCTAAGTAATCAACTAAATAGCTCGTTGATTCAGCGGTAACTTCATATTTTCATTGCAATTTTACTTGATTAACAATTTACACGGTTTATTTGTTGATCGATCAGTTCAAATATCGTTTAATTAACGAGTCACAATTAATAACTCATAAGTAAAAGGATCTTCATGAAAAATCTCATAATATAATTCTGTTTGATTGAATCTCTTTCTTATAACAATTGAAATGAAACAAATATTTACACACCTTTCGATTATTACCTTGATTTGATTGGTAAATATGAAATAATATTGGATATTTTGTTATTCAATTTATGGAACAGTTTATTAACAGAAACTAATCATTTGCTAATGCAACAATTAATACGATAAATTTACTAATAACTTGGCTAAATTCAGTTGTCTTTAAATTGTTCTTTTTATTGTTTATCATTAGTTTTCGTTGTTGTGAAGTTAATGGAATCGACAAATGAAGAGAGACTCAGTCGATCACCAAATGATTTCGAGGAGAGAATTCGTTTCGGAAGATTAAAAATTTACCTGTACCCAGATCAAAACTCTGAACCACCTTCTAATTATGTTCTTGCTTTTCGTCAGTTGATCATCTTTTTCCCATTGTGTATAATCACCTTGCTTGTAATCAGTTTCTGTTTACATGATAATTTGGTCAAAGTACCAATCGATAGATTCGCAGGTCAATCCTTCATCGATTGGGAGAATCGTCATCTTATTATCGGATTAAATTTGAATGATCGCATCGGAAAATCTTGGCTCAAAAAAAGTGATTCTAAATGCTCCTTTTCAGGAGAAATTAAAGTTAATTGTGACCTTGATGGTCTTTCAACGAAAGATGAATGTGAAAAAAAGGATTGTTGCTTTATCAATGCAACTAAAGGTAATCGAAACTTAAATTGTCGTTCTTTCAATCTATGGACTCCATTGAGTTTAATGATTTGAATTTTGTATCAATTTCAATTTTCTAGAATTCGGGGTCATGGACATGGGTGGTTACGAAAGTACGTCTCGTTGTTTTTACTCAAACGATTTTGCAAGATATCGAGTTCTAGATGTTATTCTTGGGGATAATAACGCAACGATCAAAATGTATGGCAAATATCGGTCTCAGAATCATGAGGCAAAAATCACGAATATAGATGTTCAAATAATCGGACTGGATGATGATCGTCTTCGTATTAGAGTTTTAGATGGAGACCAAGACCGTTTTCAAGTTCCAATGCCTTTTCTGAATGAGTCGAAATCAGAACTTATCGAGTCACCTCTTTACAGCATCAAAGTAAATGAACATGGGATGTTAACAATCGGTCGAAAATCAACTGGTACCGATATTTTTATCGCTGATCTGATGAGAATGATTTATACTGAACAGTTGATCGAGTTGAAAGTGAAAGTTCCATCGAATGTGCTTTATGGTCTTGGTGAACATAAAGATACCTTTAGAAAAGAGATCAAAGGTTAGAGAAGATACACTTTCTTTTCTCGTGATAATATACCCAAAGAGAATTTCAGTCTCTCTGGGACATTTCCCTTTTATTTGATGACCGAAAATGACCAAAAAATGAATACCCATGGAGTTTTTTTACTAAACAGTAATGCGATCGATATTCTAACTCAACCGACTCCAGAACTTATATGGAGAACCATTGGCGGTATTCTCGACTTTTTCATCTTCTTAGGACCAACGGCTTCTGATGTAGCTCGGCAGTACATTAATCTGATAGGTCGACCAGTACTTCAACCTTACTGGTCTTTTGGATTCCATATAAGTCGAAATGGTTACGAAAGTCTTGGTAAAACTAAAAGGACACTGGAAAGAAATCTAAACCTTGGTATTCCAATTGAATGTCAATGGAATGACCTTGATTATATGAACAGTTACAGCCAATTTACAGTTGATTCAATCCACTACCAGGATCTGAAAAAATTCGTGGATGAACTTCATTCGAAAAATATGTACTATTCGATTGTTATTGTAAGATACCTCATATTTGGTCTATCATATCGTAAAAGTTTCGTCTGATTTCATTTAGAATCCCGGAGTTCAAGTACCTTCTTTACCTGGAACTTATCCTCCGTATGAAGACGGAATTGAATCTGGTGTATTCATAAGAGCGTCGAATGATGAAATTTTTATTGGAAGATCATTAAATCTGCATTCTTATGCCTATGTAGATGTTACTGATCCTAAGACGATCAATTATACGAGGAAATATCTTCAAGCTTTAAGAGATAAAATTCCGTTTGATGGATTACAGTTAAACGAAATAGTTAATTATGCGAGAGGGAAAGAAAAGATTTGTCTTGATTCCGATTATCGAGAATATCGTCATGAAGTGAGTGATATGTTCATGAGAACAATTTGTATGACTGCTAAACTGAATTTGGGTTCGTATTATAATGTTCATAATCTTTATGGTTTATATGAAAACTTCGTTACTTATTCGTAAGTGCCAAAGTTAATAAATTGATCGATAGATTGATACAATTTTCTTTATGAGTTACAGTACAACTTGTGAAATATTGAAGGTTCGACCTTTCATATTATCAAGGTCATCTTATCCATCACAAGGTCACTTTGGCTCTCATTGGTCGGGTAATATACAGTCTTCATGGGATCACATGAAATACTCGATATCAAGTTAGTAATAATTGATCAACTTAATCATTCTCAATACTCTCTCTAATTACCAGATGATATTCAATTTTGTCATTTAGACTTATTAGAATTCAATATTTATGGTATCCCGATGATTGGTAGTGATATTTGTGGTCATAATGGTGCCACAATAGCTGAACTTTGCATGAGATGGTCAGCATTAGGTAAATTGATCGGCTATTATTGATTGAAATTTCTCAATGCTTTGTTGTTATTTTATTTATTTCTTACCTTTCAGGCGCCTTTTATCCGTTTTCTCGTAACAATAATGCTAGAAATACACCGGAACAAGATCCAGCCATTAAGGGAGAAAGGGTCGTCGCTGCAGCTAAATACGCACTCGATGCTCGATATAAACTGTTACCTTATCTTTATGGCTTATTTTTCAAAGCTCATTCCAATGCTGAGACAGTTGTACGTCCATTGTTTTTCGAGTTCCCTCTTGATTCAAACACTTACTCTATTGAAACTGCTTTTCTTTGGGGATCATGGTTATATATTGTTCCTATTCTTGAACCAAGTACCAATCAAGTAACTGCTTATTTCCCCGCTGGAAGTTGGTACAATTTTGCCGATTCTAAACTTGCCTTTAACAGTAGCGGTCAAAGTGAAACCTTGACCATTGATGACGATAAGATTGGTCTTTTTGTAAGGGTGGAGGTATAATACCAACATACAAATCGTCAGCAAAGACAACTCATGATCTACGAAAACAAAAATATTATCTAAACGCTTATCTTGACAATTCTGGTAATGCTGTTGGTGAAATTTATCATGACGATGGTAAATCATTAGACAGTGTCACTTCTGGTAATTATATTCACCTTAATTGTTCAGCAAATAGAGTAAGTTCACTGGTGATAATTACAATTAAAACTGTTGATTGATTGTTTCTAATTTTCTCGATTAGTCTCAATTGGTTTGTAGTTGCCAAAATTTTTCCGAATTCGATGACTTTGGCATTGAAGGTGTTACAATTTTTGGACTTACGAACCAGCCCAAGAATATTACCCTTGACGGAAGATCAATTTTAGCCCATAAGTTTAATCTAGAAAACTTTTCACTAGAAATCGAGTTACCGGATGGTTCTAACAACCGGCAATCATTTAGAATCGACTTCTATTACTAATATTAATTCATTAAATTGTTCGGAATCACAAGAAACGTCTGAATAATTGAATATCTTATTCTTGCTGTTATAAGTTGTCAACAACAATAATCAATTTCTCAATCAATGATTAAAAGTAACCATGGTTAGATAACCATAACCTCAAGTGTTTTGTTAAATCAATCTTAATGAAATGAAAGTTGATTACAAAGTATCGTTGATATTTCGTTCATTAATTGGTGAATTAAATGTTTCAAACTATTAATATAATAATAGTAAAAGATTGGTTAATGTTGATTACCAACAATTAACGAAAGTTCAACACAAGTTTTAATTACAAAGTGATTTTCAACATCTTCCACCTTCCAAGTAATCAACTAACTTTAAAATCATCCATTCCTCCATTCAATTAACCAGAACAATTAAAAATGTCTAACAATGATGTCGCAATAATACCAGTAGAGGTGACGGAGGCCAATATACCAAATCGTTACTTCGTTAATCAAACTTTTATGGACGACGAGATAAGACCAGAAACTAACGGTAATTAATCGTTTAAAATTTATTGATTATTCATTCATGTCCATCACAATTAAAGATATTAGTATGATGAAGTTTAGAAAATTTGATTTAATTTATTCATGAGAAATGATTGAATGTTCAATTGCTTTTTTCAACAAGTTCACTTAAATTGTTCATCACTCAAGTGAGAAATCAATAGAGATTGAAGAAAAAACCATTAATGATAAGATAAAAATAGATTAATCTTGATAATCATCCACATTTCCTTGGAAAATTAATCAACTAATCATTTAATCATCTTGAACAGTTGAATGAAGGCCAATTGAATTTCGCGCTATTTTCCGTCAGCTGATTAACCAGTTTTTTTGTTTGTAAACTTTGGGTCAACAAGATACAAATGTAATTTATTATTTGGTTCAATTGAATTCAAGTTGATTGCTTCAAACTGACCTCTACATTTGATTAGTTTAGTGTTTCGAGTTTTGTTTTTACTTCAATCAAATTGTGAACAATCAATTGTGTTTTCGTATTGAGAAATCGTGATTTTGTTAATTGTTACGTAACCGTGTTGACTTTTCATTTGTTTGAGAGGTTTTTTTTTCCTATGTGACATTTGATAATCGACAATTGTTTTTACTCTCGTTTTCTAATTTTGGACGCAAATGATGGACACTTTGTTACCGATTTCAGTTGACCAAGATGGTCAGTTAACTGATAAAACTTTGGATCGTCGTTGTAGCTTTCAAACGGTCGGTATCGAATGGCAAGACTTGAGTGTCTCATCTCGACCGGTTAAACCTTTGTTTCGAGCTGCATCCACAACTGAGCCCATTCAAATTATCAACAATGGTTAGTAATTTAACTTGATCGAATTGACTTTTTTTTGTGTGGTTTATTCAGGTCGATTTTGTTTATCGAACTTTAATTTGTATTCAGTTACCTGAGGTTCTTTCTGTTTGTTATTTTTCGTTTTCATTTCCTTTAACTGTTTTTGTTAATTTTCATTTATTTTCCTTGTGTAAATTTCACAGTCTCCGGTAAAATTGCCAGTGGCCATTTACTTGCCATCATGGGAGCATCAGGAGCTGGTAAAACGACATTTCTTAATGTTCTAACTGGACGGAACCTTAGGAATCTCGATGTTCGCGGTAATGTTTATCTCAATGGTCAACTTGCCACCGCTGATATGACAGCCGCATGTTCAGCTTATGTACAACAAGATGATATGTTCATCGGTGTATTAACTGTTCGGGAGCATCTTTTATTCCAGGTGAATTTTTATTGGACTGAGAATCAATTAGACAACCATTAGACCTGTTCAACAATTAACTTGATTTTTTTTTCATTAACTTTAACTTTTAGGCTAATCTTCGGACTTCGGCTAGTTTTACATCAGCAGAGATTCGCGAAAAAGTGGACCATGTCATATTCGAGGTAATTTGACATTTCAATGTCTAAAAATCACCAATAACTTTAATTTACTTTTTATCAGTTGGGATTGAGAAAGATTGAAAATAGTCGCATTGGTACACCAGGAATGGACAAGTCGATTTCTGGAGGAGAGATGAAGCGACTTGCTTTCGCTTCTGAGGTATATTCAATGTCTTCTTGAGTGTTAAATGATTGATTGATTGAATGTCCAACTTTATGTTTACCATTTAAAATTAGGTTTTAACTGACCCGTCGATACTTTTCTGCGATGAACCAACCTCAGGACTCGACTCTTTTATGGCTCAAAGTGTCGTTAGTGTCCTTAAGTCTATGGCGGCCACCAAAAGGACTGTTCTTGCTACTATTCATCAACCTTCATCCGAAGTGTTTGAAATGTTTGATGAAATTTTACTCCTCTCTCAAGGTCGAGTCGCTTTCATGGGCAACTCTTCCGATGCTCTCGAGTTTTTCTCCGGGATTGGACTTCATTGTAAACCGAATTACAATCCAGCCGATTTTTATATTCAACAATTAGCCATCGTTCCAGGTAGAGAAGATGAGTGTAAACAAAAGGTTAAAGTAAGTTATGAATATAATAGAATCGGCTGATTAGAGTAATTAATTTTTCTTTCTCTTAAATCTTAGGAAATTTGTCAAAAGTTTTCTGAATCAAAATTCGCCGCCAATATGAACAACAGAGCAAATTTATCGGAAACCGAAATTCATAGTGAATATAAGTCGAAGATCAGCTCTTTCTATAAGCGAGGATACTTAACTCAGATCAAATGGGTTCTATGGAGATCATGGTTGATCAATACAAGAGAACCACTTTTAAGTACCATTAGAATAGCTCAGACATTCGTAAGTGAACATTTGACTCGAATAATTAAACAGAATATCAAACAACTAATTTTCGCTCTTTCTACTTTAAAGTTTTTCGCTTTTCTATTAGGATTCATTTATTTTGGACAAGAATATAATCAAGAATCAATCATGAACATCGACGGTGCTCTATTTATTTTACTCGCTAACATAACATTTACCAATGCATTCGCCGTAATCAATGTTGGTACTTTTCAAGTTGACTTTCTTTCTCTTGTTCTAATAAATATTGTTTTCATTTCAGACCTTTTGTTTAGAACTCCCGGTTTTCATTCGAGATTATGGTAATGGACTTTACTCGGTGGCCGTTTATTTCATCTCAAAGACTCTCGCTGAATTACCTTATTTCATTGTGTTACCTTTCTCATTTGCGGCGATAACTTATTGGATGATTGGACTTTACAAAGATGTCGAAGTGTTTTTACTCACGGCGTTCGTATTAACATTGATCGCTAATGTGGCCTCGGGTTTTGGTTATTTCATCTCGTGTATAAGTAAAAATGTCACCATGGGCCTTTCAATAGCTCCACCCTTTATGATTCCTCTCATGCTCTTTGGTGGCCTATTTTTGAATAACAAGTATGTTCTATTGTCGATTTGTATCTTCGTTGTCATTTGAATTCATATTTTTTTTCTTGCTTCTCAGATCGATTCCTGTCTATTTAGATTGGATTAAATATATCAGTTGGTTTTATTATGGAAATGAGATTTTGGTTGTTAACCAATGGCGAAAAGTGACCAATATTACCTGTGATGTACCCGAATCATTGAACGATATAAGCTCCATGATGAGTGCAATGGAAATGTTCAACTCCAACGATTCAGCTATAAATCTACATGATATTATCCCTCCAGGATTAGGTTGTGTTCTAGATGGTGAAGGTGTTATTAGAAGATTGAATTTCGACGAAAACAATGTAGTCCGTAATTTCATCGCTTTAGGCGTTTTACTTGTCGCTTTTAGATTATTAGCTTTTATCTGTCTTAGTATTAGAGCTCGAATATTACGATAGAACTGTCAATAATTTATCGATCATACTCACCCTTTTACTCCATTTGATTTGTATAATAATCGACTTAAAATTCTCGTCAAATATTTTAGTCATTCTTAATTGTGTAACTTTTTTTTATTATTTGGATGATATTTGAATAGAATCCTGTCAAATATGTTATGGTTAAAATTTTCTTATTCGAGAAAAGAAAAACTTGAATCAATTGTTACTCTGAATTTAATTAAAATTAAAGTAAGGTCACAAATGATAAAACTATAAAAAGAATTTTATTTAAAATGAAAAATCGAACATGAAATCTAACCAAAAAATATTTTCGACTCTTCAAATAATTAACAATAAAACACTAATTATCATTAACCGGAATTTCGATCCCAGTCAGAATGGATATCTCTGTTTAGTACATGCAAACATTTGAAATTAGGTTTAAACGGGTTTCACTACATAAAGCATGAACCAGTATGAGCTAATGCACCATACAGAATATGCTCAAGGTCATTTCAAGACCATTCTCTAATTTTTCCCCTCATTCTCATTTTTTCTTTCTCTTTTCTTTCTCTTTTCTTTCAGCTTAATCTTTTTTTCTTACTTTCTTCCATTGTCATCATTATGGATGGTGTTTGGAGCCAGGCTGGAAGGGGAGGTATGCTGAAGCTTTTTGCAAAAACGGAGGGTACTCAATTTGAAAATATTTTATAATAATTCTCACTCTAATGGAAGATAAATCCAAAAGAAAATCTGAAATAAACTGCTTAGTTTTATCACTGTTTAAATTATAACACTCGAAGTCCTTTGAGAAACATACTGAATTTATCTCTTGATGAGTTGGTGAAAAGAATGATTTCTGATAAATTCTATTACAAACAAAATGCGATTATTGTACTCTAAATTTATTGATTTAATAAATGATTTCTGACCAATGCTGTGAACAAAATGAGATTATTTTTTAAATGAGCTGATTAAATAAACAATTTCTGAAAAATTATGCAGACCCCTCCAATTGTTAAAAGCTATGAAAACAACATACACACAAAGCTGCATTTTATCTTTCACCATGTTGAACATATACAGCCACAATGTTCTTGGCAACACCAATTTGTGTCAAACCTCTGCAAGTTACTTGAATAGTAGAAAAAAGCACTTTATTTGTGGATTTCAAGAAGTTAATTCACCTTTCGTAGAAATGTGCTTGAAAACTTTGGAGCTCACCAATCAAATATTGGAACTCGTTCTTTCGATCTCCAGAGGACCCAATGGTTCGGTTCAAGTCGCACTTTAACGGCCCACAATATAAAAAGACTAATTTCATCAACATTCTTTGTCACCACAAATATTAGACATTGGCGCTGACACAATCTACAATTGTGCTATTTCACTATTGGTGATCCTGCGTTTTTATTGGGTTATTTAAATATTTATTATAAACCTGACCTTCCTTGGTACGAATGACTCCCGAAGGTTCACGCAGGTCTAGATTCGTTGGCATTTGGTGGATACGACAGGCGGAATATTGAGATCTCTCCTGTTAATGTAATAATTTTGGTTAGTGATCTCAACGTGGATAACACCTTCTTCTTCGACGAAAAAGGCGATTCGGACTCGCGAAGAATTAACTTCATTTTGAATCATTTTTCCTTGCAACCAACTCATGATAAACCAAAATATTTTTGTAATGGATCATTAGCAAATGATCATTTGTGCTACTCTGATAATATAACGCAAGTTGAACTTAATATTCCGCTACCGGTGGTTACCTCCGATCACATTGCTCTAAATGCAACATTCACCTTTAAAAAAGTAAATAATTGTTCAATTTATTGAAAAGAAAAGACTTTCTGAGCGGAACTCTGTTTAAAGACCAGGTAAGGTCATCGAAAGTCTATATAGAAAATAATTTTGACAATTAGTTGAGACTAACTGATTAACCTTCATATATTTCCACTGCCGTAACTTCCTATCATCATTATTTCATTTTCATAAGCTACCGAGTAAGAAGAAAATCAAAGAGAAATGGTAGTGTAATGTTAATGTTTGATTTTCTTTATATGAAGGTTGCCTAAATGACCTTCTCAGATCGATTCCTGTCTATTTAAACTAGCCTGTGCATAGCTGTTAGTTTTATTAGTGAACTGGGAGTTCATTGTTAATCATTGGCGAAAAGTGACCAACGTTACTAAAAATTACTTTATTGAAATTTATTCGTTCGAGAAAAGAAAAATTGCATCAATTGCTATAACTAATCTCAAACACTCGTTGTTATTCTAAACTTAAAATCTAAAAACAGACGCAATAGTAGATTAAAATTGTAATCTTTTAATAAATTAATAAAACAAATGATTTTTAAATGATTTCTGACAAATTCCACAAACAAGATGTGCGTATTCATAAATGACACAAATTGCATTGCTAATGATTTCTGACCCACTCTACAAACAAGATTTAATAAATTAATGAAACAAATGATTTTTAAATGATTTCTGACAAATTCCACAAACAAGATGTGCGTATTCATAAATGGAACAAATTATTTAGCTAATGATTGCTGACACACTCTACAAACAAGATTTAATAAATTAATAAAACAAATGATTTTTTAATGATTTCTGACCAATTCCACAAACAAGATGTGCGTATCCATAAATGGAACGCATTATTTAGCTAATGATTTCTGACCCATTCTACAAACAAACAGAGAACCGTAGCTCCATCACAAAAAGTTTAAAAAATGATTTCTGACAAATTCCACAAACAAGATGTGCGTATTCATAAATGGAAAAAATTGCATTGCTAATGATTTCTGACCCATTCAGATTATTAGCTTCAATATTTTGCATATTAGTCATTCTTTATTGTGGATCTTTTTTTATTATTTTGATGATATTTGAATAGAATCCTGTCAAATATGTTATGGTTTAAATTTTTTTATTCGAGAAAATTTTTATATTTTATATATTTATATTTTTTTTTCTTGCTTCTCAGATCGATTCCTGTCTATTTAGATTGGATTAAATATTGTAAAGATGAGGTTGATGATGAAAATCAAGAAACAATCGAATCAAATTAACACAAAACTTTAATTTCTCGATGACTTAAATTTAACAACCGATTACAATTTTACTTTTCACTTTGATGAAATAACCGACACAAACCAATTCAAGACTAAAATCAAGACCAAACACAAGACTAACTTTTCTGGTTATTCAACCTTATTTTATATTAAAATTTTCTCTCTTTCTATTTTCTCTGTCTACAATTCGTAGTACCTTGACTTTTTCCTCCGTTATCACCTTAATCTTTGTTTGTTTTTCCCGTAGCAATTTCTTAATTAAAAACGACTTTGGACTAACTAATTAAGTGAACACCTAAATCAACATTAGATAATTTTCTCGATAACCTTTTCAATTTTGGATCATTACATTCACCCCTTCTAGTTAGTCCGAAGCCTCTTGAGGAACAATTAACTAATTTAACTAAATTAACGAAACTTTCTTGTTCGGGTCAATACTATCGAAACTTTTCGATCTATCGCTCGACCGTTCGGTCAAAGTTGTCAACAACAACTATGGGGTCATTTCTGTTTCCGTCTTACTATTTACAATAACAACAAAAGTTTCTTTACGTTTAATTCATTCTCTGTTTTCTGGATTTCTTTTCTTTTTCGTGGTTCTTTTGATCCCCTTTTTTTCAATACTCTTTTTTTCATAATTATTATCATCGAATTCTCTTCTATTTGACTCAAATTTTTCATCATGTCCGCAAAATTTTTCTCGAATCTTTCAATGGTAAAGTGTCTCTCTTTTTCTCTTCCTTTTTCCTTTTACATGATTCTTTTTTTTTCGCTAATAATTTATATTGATTCATTTTTTTCTTCTATTTGTCTCTCAGTGTATTGACGAGGTCAATAAACAAATGTCTCTCTCTCCATCAATCACCGATTCGAACGAATAGATGATGAAGGAAAAGAAAATGATGGAAAGGGTGGAAATGATGATGATGACGATGATAATTTTCCCCACCCAACTATTTCATTAAAGAAAATGAACGAGGGAGAAATTTTTGACCTGAAGTTTCCAGCATTAACCCATATTCGCAGGCGACTAACCAATAACCAATATCCTTTCATTAATCGCTTATTATCTGAGCTGATTAACACTCCGCACTATGGGTTCTGGGTCGGGTTTTCAACCGCTCAGGATCATTTAAAATGTCGATTTTGCCCTTATTGTTTTAAGGTGAAAGAGCCGAAACGGTGGAAAAATTTAATTTCTCACCTGGTCCACTCTCATGCGAAGAAAATTCCTAATTGTAACGGGATGATTCCTTCTCTCCAAAAAGTTTGGAATAAATTCCAATGATTGATTCAATAAACTTTTCTTTTGAATTTGAATTTAATTAACTTTTGAATTTCTTTTCCTTTTTGGACTAACAATAGTAAACTTATGAGAGTAACTTAGAAACACTAGAATACTTGGACTAACGACACTCGGAAGGTAATGATGACTTGGTGAGGTGGACTAACAACACTATTGTGATGATGATGACTGGGAAGGTGGACTAACGATACATAGACGACGATAGTGACTCGAAATGGTGGACTAACCATACTTAGACGATGATGATGACTTGGTGAGGTGGACTAACGATACTTAGAGACTAATGATGAGCAGAAAATGTGGACTAACGATACACAGACGACGATAGTGACTCGAAATGGTGGACTAACCATACTTAGACGATGATGATGACTTGGAAACGTGGACTAACGATACATAGAGACTAATGGTGACTCGGAATGGTGGACTAACCATAATTAGACGATGATGATGACTTGGAAACGTGGACTAACGATACTTAGACGATGATGATGATGACTTGGAAACGTGGACTAACAATACATAGAGACTAATGGTGACTCGGAATGGTGGACTAACCATAATTAGACGATGATGATGACTTGGAAACGTGGATTAACGATACTTAGACGATGATTGTGACTCGGAAGTATGGACTAACGATACATAGAGGCTAATAATGATCAGGAAAAGTGGACTAATGATACTCAGCGGTGGATGATGAGGGGGAAATGTGGACTAACAATACATAGAGGCTAATGATGACTCGAAGTGGCGGACTAACCATACTTAGACGATGATGAGGACTCGGTGAGGTGGACTAACAATACTATGGTGATGGTGGGAACTTGGTGTGGTGGACTAACGATACTAGGACTATGATGATGGCTATTTAGACCGACAAAACTGGTGGTGGGGGAGGTGGAAAGTCGAATCTTGGGATTGATCTAATTAAACGTCAGTAGTATAAAAAGTACATCTCTGGCCCATTTTTGCACAGGGTGTCCCAAACGATCCAAAATGTTCCTATAGGTTGTCTATACAGGGTGATCATACCGGGTGTCTATACCGGGTGTCCCTATATACAAGTACATTTCTAGCCCATTCTATATGAAACCAATATACAGTGACCTTATGATAAGTAGTGACCTCTGGCGGTGACCTTGAGAACCAATTTGGCTTTTTAAAGCTTTATTGTTATGACTCACTTCAATTTTGATTGGTTGTTATTCTAATGAGTTAGCTAAAGGGAGCCTTTTTTACTCCCTCATTGTGGTATTATAGAACAGATTACTATATTCACGTCATTTCTAGTTTAACTTCAACAGTGTAAACAACAAAAAGTTAATTGTGAATTTTGGGTGAATTTCAACCAATTTGTCTACAACAAAAGTGTAAATTGTGAATTTTGGATGATCTTCAGTCGTTCAACTTTTAACCGTGAATCGACGACAATGGAACAGTTTTATATTTCCGTTCTCAATAAACTTGTTTACTTCGAGCAGCAATTCCAACTCATTGGTGTTGAGAATATACGAGACGAAATTCTGGATTACTTCAGTGAACTATGTAAAATGAAAGCCGAAGCAGAAACCGTAAATGTAACTTCAAGTAATGATAATCATGTTACACTGGAAAATATCAAATGGTACAATACAATAATAAATAAAATTTACCTTTTATATGAGTTCACATACGAAGAAGGGTTCTTCAGGTTATTGATGCGTCTTCAAAATTTCATGAAAGCCAAGATTCAACAACTGAGATTTATAGAAAGTCAAGTGTCAACAAGTACAAATAATTGAAAAGTGTACACATATAAGAAACAGTTTATAAAAGTATCTGTAAATTTAAATTATAATAAATTGATATTGACTAATTATTGTGTCTATTTTTAAATTTAATCCTTGGATAAATATTCCGTCACAGTCATTCAAATAAAAATTTTGTCCTCAAAAAAAAAACATGGCTAGTAGAATAATAAATCAGGACACTGCAAGGAATAAAATGACTGCTCTAACAAATCGGGCTCAACAGCTACGGAAACGAATAGAAGAGATGGGTTGGTCAGGTATAAATGAATGGACGTATGAGTATACGAGAAACCGTGAAATCTCACATATATTAAAACGTAAATTACCCGAAAAAGAACACCCTGCTTACCCTCTATGTTGTGAATTGATTGAAGTCGATATTATACGGATGCAAATCTTACGAGGATTAATTGAAAATATGCACGCTCCTACTAACTCTATTATGTATACTCTTAATTAAATAACTTATCTGAAGTATCTGATTTACCGAGTGTTTATCACATTTAAAATTCAGTTTTTTTTGTTGATATCTAAATAAACGTTTTTGACTCAAAAAGTTGTAATTGAAAAACCGATTGAATTTATAATAAATGGAACAAATTATGATCAATTTTGTCTTTTAATACTTAATATTTATTTTTCTCTCATATTTTCTGTTTTATCTCGTTGAACTTCAATCTCTCTTTTTTATTATGATTATGATATATATTTATCTTTGAATATTTGGTTATAAAAAATGTATTGGATTATTATTTTTTCAATTGAGAACAATGGGTGGGGGTGTATACAAAGGGTTTTGCTCGAGAGCTGTCAAGTGATGAAGTATCTGAATCCTTAAAAGATCAATTTCATTCAATTGAATAATAAGGTTGTATGTTATAGCATGTTTAGGTGGCATTTCTCTTTTTAGTAATTCTTTAATAGAGCCAGGTAGATCACCTGGTTTGAAGGGCAGTGTCCAATTATCAAAATTGAAGCCTAACTCCTTCAGCTTGACAACTATTCGGATGACTTGTTGGGAGAAACCATGAAGACAAAATCTCAAATCTTCTGAAATTCGTCGATTTCTCTCGTCGATGTCCGCAATTCGTCTATCAAGATTGTTAGCCATTGTAATAATCTGAACAAATAAACACAAAACTTGTTGATTAGTAATCATAAAATTAATATTTGACCTACATTGCTCATCACTAGAGGTGAAAGGACGACCCTAAAGGTCATCACAATCATCTCTTGGACTTGCACTTTTTATTATCTAAATATGAACTTACCAGTTTGAATGTTGAAAGTTAAATGGTATTGATGAATGGTCTTAATTCAAACGGATGCTTAAATCTTCATCAAAGCAAACCTCAGGAAGATATTCTGGATCACGCACAAGTGTTCGCATAATGTGTATAGCTTGCACTCTTAGTAGATCAATTTCCAAAAGTTCATTATACTTATGGAAAACCGAACTGTGCGGAGGTGGTCTCGGTCTTCGCAGTACTTTTAAAATTGATCCCTCTAAATCAAATTGGTCGTATGGTAGATCATTACCATTGTAATGGTAACCATACTCTTTTAATTCCTTTTCAATAGGGGCAGCTCTTACGATCAATATCGTGTAAATATCCAAATATTTACTATGCAGTAACCTCTTAAATAGATTATAAGAAAGAAGCATCAAATTAAATATTTATTCTCAACTTAATTTTATTTGCTATACTCACTCTTTCTCTATACGAGAGAACCATTTTTTATGAAAACTAAGGTATTCTATTTAGGAGGTAGCCAAGTTAAACTAGAATGATAAAAAAATAAGTTAATCCAACCAAAAATAATTTGTAACTATAATATTAAAACTTGTCACTAGAGATAAAAAGACAAGCCTGATCCTCATCACAATTATTTCTAAGACTAGCTATATATAAAAACATCTTATAACATACTTATCACTAAATGGAAAGACTCAAAAAATAACGCTTGAATCGGGATATGTATATAAAACTTCTGAATATTTGAATATATGAATCTGAATAATAACTAAAGAAAGATAAAAAGGATAAGTTCATTTCTCAGGGCTAATTGTTCTATCTTTTGCTCATCACTAGAGACGAAAGGACGGTCCCAAAGACCATCACAATCGTCTCTTGGACTCGCATTAGAAAATGGAAAATCAACTTACCACTACGAAAGATAAAAACAAACTGAGACCTTAACGGGACTTGCAATGTTTATTCCAAGTGTAGAAAGAGAAATAGAAACACTAAACATCTGCTTGAATTTGATTGGACATCGTCCAACATCTGGCATGCAACATCTGGATTTTAACATCTAGAATTTAACATCTGGCATTGTAAATTCACTGTCACGTAGGCACCTCTCTTTCATTTCGCTTTGACACGTAGGCATCTCTCTTTCTTTTTGTCTGTCTATCTCTCTGTCTATTTTTTTTCTCTTTCTCTGTCTACTTCTCTTTCTTTTTGTCTGTCTATTTCTTTGTCACGTGACCATCTCTCTTTCTTTCTCTCTGTCTATCTCGCTGTCTACAGTCACGTAGTCAAAACCAATGATATAAATAGCTTGGTCTACAGTTTTAAGCTCAGTTTGTCTCCAGCTTTTGACTTGGTAAGTTCAGGTTGATGTTCAAATGCGAGTCCAAGAGATGTATGTGATAACCTTCGGGGTTGTCCTTACATCTCTAGTGATGAGCAAACTCTTCTGAATTCTGATTAATGTTTTATGAATTTATATAATTTTATTCTAACCATTTTCTTCATTTTTTCTTTATTCATTTATCAGATTTTCGTTTTCTTGAATTTTCTCTCTCAATTTTCACCAACATTTTCAACCCTAACTTCTTCAACAAAAAAAAAATTCATACTGAGTTTTATATTGTAAGTTAAGCCGACTTCTTTTTCAAATCATTCATTAGATTTTTGTGATGACCTTCGAGTTTGTCCTTTAGTCTTTTGTAATAAGCTTTTATACTGAATTTATATATGTTTTTAATTCATTTATTCCTTATATTCTTTTCTTTTCAATAGATATTCTTTACGTGTTTCTTGAGTTTTCTAATTATATACTAATTCTAAAATTGATATAATGGATAGCCAGGTAAGGTTTCTTGATACATGAATTTTGAGTTTGAATGTTCATAATGGATGAATTTTTCTTTACAGCGTTACCCTGAAGGTTTAAGTAAAAACCAAAAGGCCAAATTTAGAGCCAAGGAAAGAGCTCAGAAAATGAAGGAAATGCCGCAAAATGACATCCATAAGCAAATATGGCTCTGTCAAAAAGGACGAAAAAATTTTGCTGCCGCCGATAAAATCGAGCAGAAACTTATTGGTATGTACCAACGAGTATTGGTTACTCCTGAAGGTGAAAAAAAAACCGAAATGGAAAAAAATATCGCCGCTGCTGAGAAAAAGTTGGGCGAGAAAACCAAAAAATATAAAAATTTATTTGCTGATGTTGGCAATAAAAAGCCAAAAATTGATAAAGATGATGACAAAAAAACAACTTAAAAATTTATATAAATATACAACCTGAGAAAATGAAAGAAAAATTATGTTAATGATGATTAATTAAAAAAAATATATGATGATTAATAAAAAAATGTGATGATTGATAAAATAAATGATTATGCTGATTATGATTATGATGATAAATTAAAATGATGAAATCCAATAAAATATTTTCTTACAATTAAAATTCATTATGTACTGTTAATATATTTCCATTCATCTATTATGAACATTCAAACTCTGAACAATATTTCAAATAGAAAAATGATTACTAACATTCATTTTTATTTATTCATTCTCTAGAGTTCTGATGATGAAACGGTTCATATGGAATCAGTTAATAATTCCTCTACCTCATCTGCCACTGAACTTTCATTCTCATCAACTGAATCATCTGAAAATGAGAATAATACCTTATCAACAACACAAACATACAAATGTCCACGTTGTTCGAAAAAACCGTACAAACGCTACGGAATGTATAAACTACACCTAAAGACTTGTGGTGTACCACCACCGGTAATAAACGTTCATTTTCCTGGTGACATCAACCGATTCCACCTTCTATCTACAGCGATGGGAAAGAGATTCGTTGTGTATCGAGCTGACAATTTAGAAGTAGCCGATGTAAGTGGCGTTTACCAAGACTTTGGTCTAAATATACAACAAATTTTGAAATTCGGTAAGTATGCTTTCTGTTCAAACTTTTAAATGAATGAAAGTGAATCTTTTCATGTGTTGACATTCAAATATGAAATGTACAAGGTCTGATCTTTTTTATCCATTGATTCTTATAACTTAAATTTACAACTATAACTGATCCTAGAACCAACATTCTATTAATATTACATAGGTATCGATAAACTAAAACTGATAAAGGCTGGAATCAGTATCCAAGTTGAAATGGTAAAAGAATCGCTCGATGGTTCCCAGTTTGTGAAGCCAACTTTCACCTCAACCTTGCTTAAGTTTTATCCAGCTAGTGATATTATGGCAAAAATTGGCAAGGCTTTATCAGAAATTGATTCATTTATTGATCAATATACTCAAAAAGGTTCAGGATGGTCAGTAGCCAGGTTCATCCATTGTGATGTAATTTTTGGTCTCTACAAGCCACATAAAGGAGGGTGTAGATCGATACAACTCCCTAATGACTTGAAAAACAAAAAGTGTTTAATATCACCTGATACTATCAGTGACTGTTTCATGTATTCAGTTCTTGCAGGACTACATACCCCCCAATACAACCCACAGAGAGTTACACTTTATCGAAGATACTTGGATCTCTATGACTTCTCTGATGTGCGTGGTAATGTATCGGTGCATCAAATCAAAAAGTTCACCAGAAAAAATGCCATCTCAGTTAACGTTTATAGTTATGACGTTGACTCAAAAACTATTTGGCCAATTAAAGTAATGGACAAAGAAAATACAAAGCACGTTAATCTGCTATTATATAATGACCATTACTTCACAATCACTAATTTCAATCGACTTGCCAGTACATCTGGAACACGTAACAACTATTTCTGTTACCGTTGCATCTGCTCATTCAATAACCAAGAAAGATTAGATGCACATAGAAATGATTGTCTAAATCATACACCTCAAAAACTGGTATTACCACAACCCGGGAGCCGAAAATCAGTAATCACAAGGAATGATTATCGAAAGGAAAGTCGTTTTCCATATATTATTTATGGCGACTTTGAGACATTATCAACTAATAGAACTGACTCTGAGAAAATCCTAGCCGATTTAGTTCCAGTTAGTTATGCTTTAATTGCAGTCGATTGGAATCGAAATATCGTCAGTAAAAAACTTTACTTTGGTGAAAATGTTAGGCAACAATTTTTCAAGTCATTGGCAGATATTAAAAAAACCATAGATGAGCATAAACAAGAAAACTTCAAACCATTAAGTATGTCTCCACTTGATGAACAGGAATTTGAAGCTATTCAGAATTGCCATATCTGTGGTAAATGTTTGGGTCATGATAGGGTTCGTGATCATGATCATCTCACTGGTCAGTTCAGAGGTCCTGCACACCAAGCATGCAATGTAGCGTATCAAGTGCCATCTAAAATTCCAGTCATTTTTCATAATTTGAAAAACTTTGACGGGCACATCATTATCGGCGCTTTACGTTCTGGAATGTTCAAAAACCCACCAAGGCTGATTCCCCATACAATGGAGAAGTACATCGCATTCATGCTTGATGACTTTATCTTTCTGGATAGCTACAGTTTTCTACCTGCATCACTTGATAACCTGGCTCAATCTGTACCCGATGATATCAAAAAACATTTCATGACAAGAGTTTTCCCAGAAAACACACCATTTGAATTATTAATGAAGAAAGCTTGTCTCCCATATGAGTATTTTAACTCAATTTCTGATTTTGATCTAGATCATTTACCATCTAAAGAAGCTTTTTACTCTACGCTGACAGATTCACATGTAACTGATGAAATGTATGATCATGTGACTAACATTTGGAACCGATTTAACTGTCAAACATTGAAGGATTTTCACAACATTTACCTTAAAGTTGATACATCCTTATTAGCTGCAATATTTGAAAACTTTCGAAGGACAAGTTTCAGAAATTTTGGTATTGACCCGTGTCATTACTTCTCCGCTCCTGGATTTGCGTGGGCTGCAGCAATCAAGAAAACCAAAATCAAACTTGAACTAATTACAGACAATGACATGCTGTTAATGGTAGAAAAAGGTATCAGAGGTGGTCTCACTCAGGTATCCAAAAGACATGTAATAGCCAACAATACATCATGTCCGAATTATGATTCAACAAAAGAACCTACAAGTTTGGCTTACTTTGACGTTAATAATTTATATGGGTATTCAATGTGTCAAGAATTACCAGTTGGCGAGTTCTCATGGGTTCCTGCTGGTCAATTTATAAATGTCATTTATAAAATACTCGATATAGATGACTCTGATCTATCGAGTGGGTTCATTCTTGAAGTAGATCTTGAATATCCAGATAATCTTCATGATAAACATAATGATTACCCTCTAGCTCCTTATAAACAATCAATAAGTGATGAACTCCTGAGCCCGTACCAAAAAGCTATTGCCGAGCGACTTGCTGCTATTGGAAACAAAAGTACTAAAGTCCCAAAATTGGTTACAACATTTTTGAAGCGAGAAAAATATGTTGTTCATGGCAAAACTCTTTACTTTTACCTGAAAGAAGGTATGAAATTAAAGAAAATTCATCGCATTATAAGATTCAAACAAGCACCTTGGCTTAAGCCATATGTTGAATTCTGTACCGAACAGAGGAAACAGTCATCAACCAATTTTGAAAAAGATTTTTGGAAGTTGATGGTCAACAGTATCTATGGAAAGACCATAGAAGATAAACGAAAACATACTCATGTTGAGCTCGTTTTGGATAATGCATCCGCTGAGAAGCGATTACGTGATAACACCTGCGAAAACTTTTTGATACTTGATGAAGACCGTATTCTTTTCAAGATGAAAAGAAAACAGATAATTATGGATAAACCTATTGCGATTGGCTTCACAGTATTAGAGTTATCCAAAATGAAGATGTACGATCTTCACTACAACCATTTTAAAGCAACTTATGGGAATAACATTAACCTTGTATATACTGACACCGATAGTTTCATCTATGAGGTTAAAAACGCTGCAAATGATCACATTATCGCTCGAATGCATAGTATTCTCGACACCAGCAATTACCCAAGAGAACATCGATATTTTCAAACGTCCGTGAAAAGAAAATTGGCTTTTAAAGATGAACTTTCTGGTGGTATAATGTTTGAATTCATTGGTCTCAAGTCAAAACTATACGCTTATAAATCGGACGAAGGCGAGAAGAAACGAGCTAAAGGGGTCAATCGAGCGGCAATGAAACGCATCACATTTGATGATTATAAAAAAGCCATTGATGCAAGTACCAATGTTAGACTTACTATGCATAGACTCCAAGCAGTTCGACATGAAATTCAACTTTTGAAATATCAAAAATTATGTATTACCCCCTTTGATAACAAAAGATATATCCGAGAAGATGGAATATCTACTTTAGCTTACGGTCACTACTCATTGAGAGCTGATCAATAATAAAATATTTCAACAATATTAAAAATCATATTCAAATCAAATCATTTATTGTTTTCAAAACTTTTTTTTCATTATATATATGTTTACATTTACGGAATATTCGATAGAATCGATTCAGATCGTTAACAAGAAGAATGAATAGAATACAGAAAAACCCACAAGCAATTGAACTATTGCCTTGATACTTATTACGGTTAACTTTTAAATAGTTAGAGTTAGAATCAATGAATGAGAGAATCGTGTCTGGTGGATTTCTTCCAAATGAGTCGAAATAGTGTGCTTGATTATTCTTGTCAAAGTGTAAAGCAACCCAATGACTTCCAGTCTTATAACTAGGATCTAAATTGATAATGAATGATTTAGGCTTTTTAATGTATTTCGGTAACATATCACATGGGAATGTTCCTCCATACCATTTTACTTTTCTAAGTAATTTATTGAGATCTCGTGTTGTTAACATGTTCAGTAATCAATCATTACGTTACGGTCTTTATCAATAGTTATTAAGTTATCGTATTGAGCGAAAACAATCGCTTTAATTGGTCGTGTAAGTGGTTTCATCAATTTAATATCAAGACGAGTGACACCTCTCTTAAGCAAAGATAATGTTCCTGTTTCTCCTCCAATTGAGCCATCAGGTGTTAGATCAAAAGCAAAAAGGGTTTTTCCTGCTTTATAATCATTGTATTTGAGATCGAGTTGTGGTACACCTTCATCCTGATTAAAGTATCTGTATAAGTTGACGAATTCTCTCATACATAGATCCTCCTTGAAACTTGGTGTATAAGCAATACTCGGGCATTTGTTACCATCAATATTCAATGCCAAGTATGTTATATTATAGTGAAAGAAAAAGTATGGATCTTCTTCAATTAGTCCTGATTTAGCTCCATCACTTACAAATCCAATTAATACTCGACGGGTTAATGGTCCGATAAATACATTCTCAATAGTTGCTGATGAAATTCCTTGTTCTATTGTAAATGCTCTCGTTTCGTTGCGTGTAATGAAATATTTTGCAGGTGACTTTTCAAGACTAGTAACAATAGCCAATTGTGCTTCTGAGAATAGCTTAACACGTTTAATATGTACTGCAAATTGTTTGAAATCGATTTTATAAGTATCAGTATCTTTTGCGTCATAGCGATATAATGAAAATGAATCAGTACTTCGAGTGAACATGAAAGTCAATGGGACGCCATTAATTAATAACTTATCTTGTTCACAAATTGATAAATGTAATCGAAAATATAAGTCAATCAATCCAAAGGATCGTGACTCATCAGCCTCTCTACCACTGTCAACATTATTTGGTGGCCTGAAAACCAAGTCTTCAAGGTACGCTTGATAATGATACATATTGTTTTTCTGAGTTGTATTCACTGATCCAATAGCTAAATCTATTTGTTCAAATAATGAGTTACCGAAATTTTCAACAGGACGAATAAAACGACTTGCATTAGCTGGATTTTTACCTACAATTTGCACAACCAAGTGGACCATTGTTGCCTGCATATCAGTGAAATCATCACTTTTTGGGATATTTATTTCATATGTTGTACTTCCTTCTAAGGTTGAATTAGGACGATAATCAACTTCATAGTATGATTCGATTGCAGTTTGTGTTGGTGGGACAGTAAAAACCTGTAGCTCAGATTTACTTACTGGCATTGATGTCTCATGTAAATACTCCATTATCCAAAATATCTTTTTCAACCTTTTAATTTTCTTCTTTGGTTTGTTTATCTTCTTTTTCTTAGTTACTTTTTTCCGCTTGCCTTGTTTTCTTATACCACTACCAGACTGATCGAGAATTGTATTCAATTTATTCAATGTCTCTCTAGCTGTCGCTCTTGCCCCTTCCTTACCTCGTTTCTTTAATGAATCTTTAAAATCTTTTTTATCTAGAATATCTTGTCCAATATTCACTCCAGTTTGTAATAAATGTTTCCCTAGAAATTTTAATATAGGAATTCCTATCCTTTTAAAAAAGGAACCTAGTCCGTAACCTCGCTGATATGGTTGACCTCGGTATATTGGTATATCAGAGTAACCTTTACCTGCTTGGTCCCGGTAATGAGAAGTAAAATCACTATCACAACCACAATATACTTTACGATTCATAATGCTCTCAATTTTATTGAATTCTTAATAGATTGTTTTCTTATACAATATCAATTCTCTTGAAATGTAAACTTAAATAGACACGACCGTTTTTGAACTTGATTCGATTACCGGTTTCATCACGTAAAATTATACTTATATCTTCTATTTTATTAAATCTAACAGGATAATAATATGGATTATTGAATGACATATGACCCAATTTATCTCCACCTTCCCCTTTCTCCAATGGGACTACACGTAACACTCTAGAAGTTATATCACCAACGAAATGATCATGAATTATATCAGTATAAATAAACATTAGATGTGACTTTGGTCCAATATCAGGTTTATGATTTGCAGTCATTGTCTTAAGAGATGTAGCCGAATTAAGTTGATCATAATATATGCTCAAATCAAAACCTAATGTACGTAAGAACATATGATCTCTGAATATTGGAAATACAGGATCATAACTATCAGGTAAACTGCCAGATTTGATTACAACTCGATCTTTACCTTCAATTACCTCTTTACTAATTGATGGAGGTTTAATATCAGCTTCATTAATTCCTTCAATGTCTCCTATTCCGTCAATTTTATATGCATTTGTCATGTTAGAATTAAGTTCCTCAATTATTTGTTCAATCGAGTCATTCTCCGTGTATGCAAATTCTAACATTCTATGCTTTCGACCGGCTCCATAGCGTATATAATATGGAATAACTCTTTTCATTGGTTTATGTGATAAAGGATAAAACACTTCTTGGACTGCGACAAACCAATTTCCATCTAATTCTAGTCTTTTGGGAAGGCGATTAGTGAACCGAGATAATGTATTATCAGGATGGATATCCATACTTGAATTTGAAATAATATCGACAAAATATTCACTTGACATTTTCTGTCCAACTATTGAATTCATCAGGGTAACCTGACCATTTGACAAAATATTCTTTTTTCTTAGTTCGAGGGTTTATTCGCTCTTTAATTATCTTCTCAATCTCATGAAGTCTCGGATTAATAACATTTATTAATTCAGGATGATAAAAAATAGATGTTATAGGCTCGTCATAATAGTCAACCAATTTATATATGTATCCTTGTGGTGTTCTTTTAACCCAATTGATCTTAAACAATTCATCAGTCCAATTAGTAGTTGCCCCTTTCTCAAATCTACCTTTAGCTCGTGTTATTCTCACATACTGATTAATTTCATATGGTTTATAATTGATTTTAATTCTACGTTGATTTCTCTGAATACGTGCAATTACTTCTTTTTCATTTTCTTTCGTTACATTTATTGGTGCCATTCCAATTGTTCTATGAATTGATTTATTATATCCATCAACAATATCAACAAGTGCATCAATATACCTTCGACTTTGTTCATAATGTATGTATCTGTATATTCTGGTCCGTAATGTTCTATTGAATCTTTCAACGATTGCACATTTAATCACATCATCAGTTGATGTGAAATGATTTATCTTCAGTGATTTAAAATGTGACTTGAGAATACTATTAACAAATTCTTTCCTTGATCAGTTTGTAATTTTTAGGTATTCGTTTAGCAGTGTTTATTATTTTTATAAACGCTGTTTTTATTGTTTGTGCTGATTTATCAGGAACGGCTTCAACCCATGCATATCTACTTAAACAATCAACAACTGCTAACAAGTATCGATTTTTATCATTATATTTAGCTAACCATGTCATGTCCATTAAATCTGCTTGCCATTGCTCATCAATTGAATCAACAAGAATAGGTAATCTCGGAAATTTTTTAATAGACTTTTTGAATAAGTTGTATGTAGATTGTTCAAGTAACCAATCGTGGACTTGTTTATATTTAATATCTGGCATGATCTCTCTCGCAGTATCAAATAACCTTTTAATCCCACCGAATGATCCTGGATTTAATGGGTTGTAATAAATTTGTTTCAAAGACTGCTCCATTCTGATGAATTTTTCTTTCTTGATGATATTGATGATCCACTAGATTTACTTCTTTCATGAAATGCTGTTATTGCATTCGTGTTTTTAATATGTTTAAATAGAAGCGGGTGTTCATAGATAATTTTATCAAGAATGAAATTGTAGCCATTTGGTTTCTTTTCTTTCGGACTTTTCGTTACTAAATAGTGAACTATTGTTTTTAATTTACTTCCTCTTATAACGGTACCGACTTCACGAATGATTCTTGATGATCTATCTAGTAAATTTGGAATTCCTCTTAAAGCTTGTTTTAAACTTTGATTACTTGACTCATCGGTGAAATTCAATGGTTGAGTAGGTCCAGGAGTTGATGTAAATATCGGTCTTGGGATTTCATTACCAAGTGAATGTAACTGTTGATGTTCATAATTCATATTTTGTGTATCATTTTCTTGCATACTCTCCACCACCTCTTCAGTCTCCTGCTTGGTGTTATCAACAGTTTGATTAATATTTGTATCTTCAACTTTTTCATTTTCTAAACTTTGAGCGATTGCATGTAATATTGCTTGCACTTTATTTTGATTATTGTCACTTCTCAGATTAGGAAAATTATCATTTGTTTTTGCAATGGCTGTATTGAGATAGTTCACTTTAGTTTCAATAGGCAAGTTCTTATTAAGTAGTCTTTTAGCTGCACTAGGTTTATTAAATGATCTTCGATATTGGTCTTCTGATAAAAGCACCATTCGTGTAACTGTATTCATTTTGTTTTATCAAAAGACCTAACCTAACTCAACCTAACCTAACCTAACCTAACCTAATATAATATAATATAATATAATCTAACGTGACAGGTTAGCGAGTAAAGTAATTGCTGGTACCAGTAAACTGCTGAGGAATCCACCTCGTTGATTAAGTATTGTCCTTTTTATATTAGCGCTTGGAAGTTTCACAAGTGAACGAATTTTATTCTTATACGGTATTAGCTTTTTCTTTTGATACTTGGAAATTTTTATATTTCCTTTCAGGGTTTCTTTCGCTATCTCTTTGATAACCCTTATAATACATTTAGGTGAATTATCTAATATTTTTTTCAACTCTTTTCTTGTTTTAGCTTTTTTAAGCCTCTTCAATTGATTGAGACATGTATATGCTTGTTGAACTGTCATACTAAATAAACAGTTATATACTTTTCTTCATCTAGAACATTAGTTAAAAATCTGATTTCTTCAGGTGTATCAGGTCTCAAATCAAGAAAAAGATACGAATAAGGTTTCTTTGTAGCGTCTTGGTAAATTTCTTGTATTTTCTTGACTTTTCCTGGCATAATCTGTCTGGCTATATGTGTTATCATTGATTGCTCACGAGGGTTCTTAAAGTAAACTATGTATTGTGCATTATGAAATATTTCTGCTCTCATTACCTCGAGAGAAAAAGTTCTGAACAAGATAAATGACTGATAAGTTTCGGTGGTGTGACCCTTTTGTGAATAATTCACTTACAACTCTCGAATTACTTGACTCAAACATTAAATCATCAATTATTATCCATTCAGGTTGAGTTCCATCAAACCTTGACATTATATTCTCAGGAAGACCCTGTATAAAGTTTACTTCTGGTAATGATTCGAATGTATCTTGATATTCTCCGTAAAAGTATGTGATTCGTACTGGTGGAGGTAGACAATACTTATCAACATTATTTATTAGCTTTTTTACCCATTCTGTTTTACCACAACCTGTAGGTCCTGCGATAACCATTGTGAATGGATGATGTAAATAAACATTATAGGACTTCATTTTTGATTTAAGCTTTTTTTATTTGGCTTTTTTTATTTGGCTTTTTTTCTTAAACAGTTAGGGATTGGACCCATTTTTTCATCATTAATACAGTATTTAAAGAACATTTTATAAAGGGTGCTTGGATAATATGGTGGGAACAGGGTAATCGGTCAATATCTTTGATAGCTTTATGAGTACAACCTATTGATAGGATATTTATAGTAGGGATATTGAATTCATTGAGAATTTCCTCAGCTTCACGGGACTTGACAGCGATAATGTTTTTGTTAGGGGACTTGACAACATCATGGAACTCCTTTAAAATGGAACCAAACGCTTCTTTTGATATATGTAGATCATCGGGTGAATTCAATTCGAGTCCATGGTGGCTTTGAGTCAAATAGTTGACATCAGCTAGGGGAAAAGGGTAATCAGGTTCATTGACATCAACTGAAACTTTGAGACAAATTATCTCTGAATCACTTAGACAAGCGATCTCTTTCGGGTGGTAAACTTTATTCATACGGAACCCTTGGGTATCAAAGAAGCCACAAATATCGTCCATTATGGGGCTGGTTGCCATTGAATGAGATAGAAATAGTTGACGAGTGAAATGAAAGTAGCTGGATCACTATTGTAAAATTCAGTGACTAACTCGTGATCGAAATGTTTTATATTTTCGACAGCTAGATTACACCGTGGTGGTAATTGTAATGGAGCGAGAACGTTGCTGAGGAAGAAATCCCAATATTTTCCGACAAGAGGAACAAGTGAGTTTATTACTTCACGAGATACTGGCTGGGAAACTTTGTCAATTATTGATTCACCGTAAGTTGATGATAGTTGAGTTGAAGTGAATAAGGTAGAAAGAATCTTGAATTTAGCGACCCTTTCTTCTCTTGGTTTCTTTTGGAGTTTTAACAGGAAAAATAGAGCTGGATGAATTTCCAAAAGTCTGATGTATGTTGGTTGAGACAGGAACACAGTTTTATCACCTTTTGTAATCTTTAACCGATCGTTATGTGATTCGATTTTAACACTGTAAAATTCACTTGGGTGGAAAACGTTAGATAAAGTTGCTTCAATATAATCAGCTATAAAGTTGAATTCAGAAAGAGTACATGAAACACTGTATCCGGTGGGAGATAATGAACGATTATAGGCAGTAATATTAACACGAGAACATAAAATTTCACCGTTTAAAAAAGACCAAGATTGTTTGAGGTAGATGAAATTACCTAAATGTACTGGGTGGGAAGAGAACCATTCCATTATAGAACTAAACACAAAATGGCGGACATGTCAATGTGCTTCTACTTATATTGAGAAGAAGAAGCGCCATCTACTGTTGATTGATGGAGGTATTTAAATGCGCGGTTTTTGAAAGGAGAGTCGCTAGAATAGACTCTATATCAGGTAAAGTCTTAGCTCCAGTTACAATTATACTTCCAGTTGAGAAATATTGAAGAGTTACACCATTTTCTTTCAAGTAAATAGCCGGAAATAGTTCAGGTTCATATTGTAAATCAGTATGAGCTTTCAGTAAATGAGCTGAATTTATCATATATGGTAAATACGATTGAGCTACAATATTACATATTCGTATGAAACTGACTGAATTATTAGGAAATAGTTTTTGTAATACAGTTGCAGGTTTGCTTACATCAGTGACACCAGTTGCCACTACTTTACCGGATGCAAATACGAGGAAAGTACACCCTTCAGATTTAATTACTTGAGCGTTATAAGCTTTTTTACGTTTTGAATTATCAACAGTAATATTTATTTTACCATTAAGATTCCAGAGACTCACCATTAATTTTATTTCATATTTAAGCGACTCGTAATTCTGGGGGCATATAGACATGGTAATAGATATTTAAAAAGTACACGATAATAACAAGAATAACTAGGAAGATTAAAAGGACAAGTAGACACATTGAAGTTTGAAGTAGAAATGAATAAAGGGAAACTGAATCAGGGGTATTTATACGTGTGAAAAGAGCGGGACACATTTTTATTTTGAATTTTAAAATCTCATTTTTATTGATGAGTCATATATAGTGTATTTAGTGTATTATAATGTATTTGATATTGATACAGGGCTTATACAGATTATGGACCTTGAATGAAATCTGGGATATATAATGGATTTCTTTGTAATATACGTAAATGATGTAATAATTGAGTCCTGAATATATCGATTCTTCTCAACTCGACAGCGTACTCATATGCAGGGTCATCAGAATCAGGCATTATTCTTTCACGAATTATTCTGAGTGAGGCTTCTAAATCATCACGAATGAACGGAATGTACCAATCACTAAGATCAAACTCAAATTGTCTTAATCGGGTAATATATGGACGAGCTTTGACTGTGAAGTAATCCAGTGAGGACTCATAAGTTTGAATCAACTGTAAGAGTAAGAAACATTTATTAATAACTTTAAACTAAAGTTGAATTAATAAATATATACTTACTCTTTCATATTGAGGTCTTGTTCTTGCCATCACAGAATAAACACTTGAAAACTGATCGCCAGAAGAGATACACATCTTATGAAGTCTGAAACTGAAATGAGAGTTTGGAGATGTATTATGTAAATTTTAAACATGAAGGGCGGAGTCAAAAATATTATTGGTTCATTTTTAACAGTCGATCAAGTCAACATAGAAATTAACGGTAGCTCATTGGCTGGAGTTTTGAGGAATGTTATTGGGTAGAAATCAGCTTTAAAAGCCAAATTGGTTCTCAAGGTCACCGCCAGAGGTCACTACTTATCATAAGGTCACTGTATATTGGTTTCATATAGAATGGGCTAGAAATGTACTTGTATATAGGGACACCCGATATAGACACCCGGTATGATCACCCTGTATAGACAACCTATAGGAACATTTTGGATCGTTTGGGACACCCTGTGCAAAAATGGGCCAGAGATGTACTTTTTATACTACTAACGTCGACGAGCTAATTGAATTGGGTCTTGTGAGGATGGATTGATCGTTTCGACTTGCTTCTTCTTTTTGATACTAAGGATGACGATGAGAATGATGAGGGATAAAATGGTGATAATGGCAGTAACGGTAACTAACCAGAAGGGAATAATATTGTGTTCGGTGTATCCGAAGGTGATCACTTGGCAGGTACGATCGAGGCTACAGAAAAGGGGTCTAATTTTTAATGTGGTTAAATCGGTTCTATTTTTGAATAATTTTTCTATCCCTACATCTAATAAAAGCGGGTAACTTAATTCACCGGACTCCCATGCGGCGATTATTCTTCTCACCTTCTCTTTGATCAACACCAGTCGGGTTTGAATTAGTGACATTTTTAGATTTTCATTCGTGGTTCGGGTTGGTCGGGAATGGAAGTCAAGTAACTTGTATTCGGGGCTAAGGATGCAAAGTGTAGCTAAGGGTACTAGAAAGGCTTCTTCGAATTGTTGTTGACATTTCAGGCGGATCTCCATTATCTCTACACTATTACAAGGATTTATGTATTGAAATTGGACAACATACGGATTTGAGGTATCGAGAGGGAGAGCGATAACTTTGAGTGGGCCAAAAATGAGTAAGCTGAGGATGAAAAACTTATTATTATTGCCTTTTGGTGGACGCTCGGGAGCGGAAGTACTAGCATCCTGATGATCAACTTCTTTCCTAACGGTTAGTTCGGTTTCTTCTTCACGGGATGGGGCTAATCGAACACTTTGTTTATTTCTAATAAACTTGACGATATATATGAGACTAATAAGTACTAAGATAATTAAGATGATGGTGGTTAGTCCAACGTGCGGTAAATAGTGATACAATGGTAATAATAATGGGTGAGGAGGGATAGATAAATCGGACCTTAGACCTTTGTACTTCTCTTTCAGGCGACTCAGGGTTTCATCGGGGTTAAATAAATGCAACTCTGGCATTAACTGGAAATTGATTCTCTCTGACTCTTCGGGTAGGAAATGAATTGTACTTTGGACGGACGCTTTATCGGTCATATATGCGTATTTTCCGATCTTGAATCGATCTTGAGCATCTAATTTAAAGGGGTAAGGAGGGCAGGGGAGGGTTCGACCGTAAACCTCAATAGTTAGTCCCGGACAATAGACTAAGTTCTGATGGGAAATTGGTTTAATTTGAAATAAATCACCATCTTGAATGGTGTGTCGATAATCACAGTGATGTTTCTGCCAATTGATGTCGGTATTATTTCCTAATGTAAAGTCACAGACAGAGGATTCAGGGAGGATGATCATGGTATGAGAACCTTCGGTTCCGAAACTATGTACAGGATTTACACATTGGTTTTTCTCATCAAAAATGACGTGAGAGGGACCAGTATATTCTAATTTACAGAATTCACCTGTGGTTTGATTATAATTGATTAAGGTGAAAGGGTCAGCGGTCATTATTCTAACATTGGGCATAACTCTTCTAATGTTAATTTTTAACCTAAGGGTATTCACGGTCGGGTCATGATAACAATCCATTGAATAGGTCATATCTAAGGGGCAAGAGGAACTACAAGGTAGACTAATGTTGAGAACATCGAGGAGAAGTGGACTAAGTTGTTTTAATTTCCAGGCTCGAACTATTTGTAACATTTGGTGTTGAGTCATTTCTAACTTGGAGACTAAACTAGCGATCGAGTGAGCGTTTTCAGGGATAGTCGATTTCCATCTAATGAACGTTTTCTTTTGTTCTTGAACTTCTCGAGATAAGATATCTACTTGTGATTCTAAATTTTCCATCATCTCTTCCAAAATCTTTTGGTTCTTTTCGACAATATGTAAACTTTCTAATTTCTGTTCTAATTCACTCTTCAATTCACTAACTCGGTTACTAGCGGAAACAGCGATTGCAGTTCCAACGGCTCCGAACCCGATGGAAAGGATGCTGGCAGCGGCGATGACTAACATTACACTCCCGGTGATGATGAACCTTTTACTTCGTATCAATTGTTGTTCGGTGATCACCTGATCATGAACATCCGTACACATTTCCGAGATCGGTTTGAGGAAAGCTTCCTCATACGCATGAAGACACCAGCGCTGAAGAAACTCGTGGTTGAATCCGGCGTTAATCATTGATTGGACTAAAGGTGGACAAGGTGAGAGATATTTGGTACTTATGTCGATTTCTACTGCACCATTAACGAGAGCGGTCTTTGCGGATCTCCAGATGATTGGATTGGACTTAGTGAATGCTGCTTCACTGATTGGGGGTGCGAGGACGGTTAGTCCCATTAAACTGATTAATAAGACGGGTGAAAATCTAACTGGATTGTTTCTAACTCGAGTGGATCGTCGAGTGGGAAGGGGAATAGGTTCAGATGATTCTGATTCGGTTGTTTCATTAGACTTAGTCCCCGAGTGTTCATTATCTTCGATATTTTCTTGGATTTCGGTTGCCGATGAGTTTGGATCTGATGCTTCGGCGATTGGTTCATCCCAGAGAAAATGGTCTGATGAAGAGGGGGCCTCATTCAATTCATCAATTACAGTATCGGAGCTGCTCGTTATTTTCTTCTCGACTCTATCTTTATGCTCTTTCATTCTACTAACATGTACGAGCTCAGTTTTAGATGGATTAGTATCAGATTTCAACTTATAAGTATTTAGTCCACACCTCTCAATTACGGTAAAAGGACCGATCCATGGATGTAACAATTTTTCAGATTTTCGAACATATCGGCGAGGATTAAAGACTCTCACCCGGTCGCCCGGCTGGAAAACGACGGGGCGGTGACGCTCATCGTATCTCAATTTGTTTGCTGCTTGGCTGTTCTCTAAATTAATTCTTGCCGCTTCTCGTTTTTGGTTAATAATTGTCGTTAAAAGTTCGGCATATTCAACAGCATTATCACAACCCAAAGAGGTTGTATTATTAATTTAGGAAGGTAATTTAGCTTCATACCCATGTAATAAATAAAAAGGTGAAAATTTTGTTGATGATTGTATCGATGTGTTATAAGCAAAGCAAACGAATGGGAGGTGGTGGTCCCAATCGCTATGATTATTATTTACATACATTGACAACATGGTTGCCAATGTTTTATTGAACCTTTCGGTAAGGCCATTAGTTGCTGGGTGGTAGGCGGTGGTTCTTGTATGTTTCGAGTTAAAAATTTTATATATTTCTTCAATAAACAGGCTCTCAAAACATTTCCCTCGATCGGTGAGAACTTTGAATGGGGCTCCGAACCGACAAACAATCGATTGAGAGAAAAATTTTGCCACCTCTTGAGATGATCCATTTGGGATCGCTTTACATTCGGCCCATCGGGTGAGGTAATCGGTAGCGACGATGATATTTTTATTTCCATCCTTGGAGAGGGGAAAGGGGCCAAGTAGGTCCATTCCAACCATTTCGAATGGTCCACCGGCTTTGATGGGCATCATAAGTCCAGGTTTCGGTAGATTCGCGGACTTTTTCCCTTGACAACTCTCACAAGTCTCTACATGAGAGCGGACATCAAGATTTAGATTTGGCCACCAATATCGACTTTTTATTTTATTCAGGGTCTTTTGAACCCCAAGATGACCAGAAATAGGATCATCATGACATGTGGTGATAATTTCCGTGACCATGGAGGGTGGAATACAAGGGACTAAATTGGGTCCGGACTCACTTTCAATTAATTTATATAACGTTTCTTCTCTCACCACAAATCCACTGGTATCGATTGACGGGGAATCTTCAGGAGATTCGAGTGCTCGGATGATCTTGTGCAGAAAATGATCTTTCTTTTGTTTATTTATCAACTTTCTAACGGGACTAATGAGATTAATTTTATAATTTTCAATTGGTTCACTAAATTCTCCCATAGGATTCACTGCGTTCCGTGAGAGATAATCGGCCACCACATTCGATTTCCCTGTGGTGTATTTTATTTCGAAATCAAACTGTTCCAATTGGATGGCCCATTTTAACAAGCGATCTGGAAGTTTATCTTTCGTTTGGAGCCAACACAAGGCCCTGTGGTCGGTTAAAACAGTAAAATGGATTCCCATGAGGAACCTTTTTAACTTGGTGAGAGCGAAGACGATAGCCAGACATTCCTTCTCGGTGGTTGAATAGCGAGTCTCGGCTTCATGTAGGAGGCGGCTCAAGTACCAAACTGGCTTCTTTTCTTCATTTTCTGTTTGCATAAGGACGGCGCCAATTCCGAACCCGGATGCATCACAGTGTACTTCGGTGGGGAGGCTTGGGTTAAAGTGACTCAGAAGCGGATCTTCGATCAATAATTGTTTCACTTTATTAAATGCTAACTCTTGGTCACTACCCCATTCAAATTGAACACTTTTTCGAGTTAATCGAGTCAAAGGCTCAACTATTTCTGAAAATTTCGGAATAAACTTTCGGTAATATCCGGCCATCCCAATGAAGCTTCGTATCCCAGTGATGTCGTTGGGCTTTAAAAATCGCTTAACATCGTCGACTTTCTTTGGATCGGTTCTTAGTCCATGTTCGTTGATAACGTGACCCAGAAAAATCATTTCTCTTACTGCCCACTTACACTTCGTTACTTTTATCGTTAGTCCTGCATTTGCGATCGCTCGTAGTACATTTTTCGTTCGTTTCATTAGTTCGTCAAAAGAGGAGGCGAAAATAACAACGTCATCTAAATAAACAAGACACTGGGTATATTTTAGTCCAGATAAGACGATGTCCATGGTCCTCTGGAAAGTGGCAGGGGCATTGGTTAGTCCAAAGGGCATTCGGATGAACTCGTAGAGACCATCGCCGGTGGAAAAGGCCGTTTTCTCACAATCATTTGGATGGACTGATAATTGCCAGTAACCAGAATTGAGGTCAAGGGTGGTGAACCAACTACAACCTTGTAATGAACTAATCACTAAATCAATATTTGGTAGGGGGTAAACATCTTTCTTGGTCACTGCATTCACTTTTCTTAAATCTACACATAATCTTTTACTACCATCAGATTTAGCGACTAACACAATGGGACTGGCCCAGGCTGACTGTGAATATCGGATTACTCCTAATTCTAACATCTCTTGGACTTGTCGATTAATTTCTTCCCGCTCTGGTGTCGATCGAGGATAAGGGTGGCGATGAATTGGTTTTGAATCACCAGTATCAATTGTATGATAAAATAATGTACAATTTCCTAAATTAGACTTATCAAACGCTAGAGCTGGACTAAACGCGTCCAAGGTCTCTCTTACTATTTTTTCTTGTTCATTGGTTAAATGGTCTAAGCTAAGTTCATTTTTTGTTGATGATGGGGAGGAGGATGAGGGTAGAGAAGGTGATGATGGTGATGATGGTGATGATGGTGATGATGGTGATGATGGTGATGATGGAAGTGATAGAGGGGAAGGTGTTGAAAAGGAGGGCGCAGAAATTGGTGCCTGTTGGGTGAAAAATTCTGAGGATGGGAGTTGAAAATCATTGATCTCTGATTCATTCTGCCAAAAAAAGGTTGGACTAACATACGTTCCATTTTCATTCCAATCATAATTGAGAGGGGAAAGTTCTGTTGAATATACATATGGATCAAACGGAAGGTATGGATTTAATTCTGGTTGTTGATCAACGACAAGGTTGGTTTGTTCAAGATTTTCCCAACAATACTCGGAACTTTGATCAGGATCAAAGTGACTAACTTGACTTGGACTAACGTGATGAGGACTTACGATGTTTGGAATAGGATCATTCGGACTAACGTGAGTTGGACTAACATCTAAATCTAAATTAAAAATTTGATGAGGTGATTCAAGTGAAAAGTCGAAGTAATTCCACTCATGTAACATTTCAATATCGTTAACGGTTTCAACTATCAAGCAATGGTTTGTGTCGTGGTTATTCTCATCAATTACATCAAAATTTAATGGGACTAACCCATTCTCTAAATCTACTGAGGGACTAAAACAAAGGTTATTTTTATCTAAATTTGTAATAAAAACGGTTCCAGGGTACTTATCATCATTGGTGGACGGTTGGACTAGCTCCATGGTTCCAAGGTCTAACTGAAGTCTCGCTGCCCGGTTGAAGTTGTTTCCAAGGAGAAGGTCATACGCGAAAGTATTGTCAACTACTAGCAGGTTGGTCCAAACTCCTATGGTTAGTGATCCTGCGGTTATTAATAATCTGGTTCGACCGATGATGTTCAAAGAGTGACCACTTGCCGATTTAACTGCCGGGCCGCCATAATATTGAGTTTGGTTCGGATCAGCCCATGCTTGTTTTATGATGGAAACAGTTGATCCAGTGTCGATGAGGCCTCTTAATTTTCTATTGTTCACTGAGCACTGAATGAAAATGTAATTTTCATCATAATCACTTAAACAGTTTGCCCTGGGCGGCGGTGGAGGGTGACCAACACTATAAGGTTGCTGAACATTCACTGGGTTCGGTCGGTGGGTCACTGGTTGGTTCACTTGATGGTCTCGATGATTAGGTTGAGCTAGAGGGTATTGTTGCGGGCGGTTCACTTGGGGTAACTGATTAGATGATGTTTGGTTTGGATACGGGTAGTTATGAAACGAGTTATTATTGGTGGAATTTTGGGTTTGATTATGTGAATAGGGCAATTGGGAAAAGGGGGAATAAGGTGGGTAATTGGGTGGTTGGTATCTTGGATGATGGTAACTGGGTTGAGGGTGAGTTGGGAATGGTCGATTCTGTTGATGATGAGAGGTAAACAAAGGCCTTTGTTGGTTGGCGCTTGCGCCTTGGTCACGGATACGGAAATAACAGTTGGCCTGAATATGGCCTACTTTGTTACAATAGTAACAGATTATAGGCTTATTGTTTCTGGATGAATCTGGTTCTATCTGGTTTACTCGTGTTGTTCTCATGGTTAGTCCGTTTTTTAACTCCATTATCATTTGTTTCAATTCAGCAACTTCGGGATTCGTGGTACTATTAGAATTTCGCTCTAAATTCTTAGCATGATCTGTAAATTCTTTTATCGTAGTAGGATTTAGTCCATATAAAACGGTCTTAATATCGGCCCTAACACCTTCGAAGAGATAACGCATAGTTTCTTTCTCATTCTTATTTAATTTACTGCATAATTCTTTGACATCGATTATAAATTTAGTGACCGGTTCATCTGGACGTTGTTTTCTACTCGATAATTGTTGATTAATATATGATTCATACTCGGAAGGTAAAAAGGTTGATTTGAAATCAGAGACAAAATCATAATCAGAATCAGAAATCAGAAGGTATAAGGAGCAAAAAGGGAAACAAAACAAAAAAAAACTTCCAAGTTGTTTTTAACTCAAGGGTGATAAAATGGACCACTGACTTGAGATCTCGGTGGGACCTCCAAATGTAAAGATGAGGTTGATGATGAAAATCAAGAAACAATCGAATCAAATTAACACAAAACTTTAATTTCTCGATGACTTAAATTTAACAACCGATTACAATTTTACTTTTCACTTTGATGAAATAACCGACACAAACCAATTCAAGACTAAAATCAAGACCAAACACAAGACTAACTTTTCTGGTTATTCAACCTTATTTTATATTAAAATTTTCTCTCTTTCTATTTTCTCTGTCTACAATTCGTAGTACCTTGACTTTTTCCTCCGTTATCACCTTAATCTTTGTTTGTTTTTCCCGTAGCAATTTCTTAATTAAAAACGACTTTGGACTAACTAATTAAGTGAACACCTAAATCAACATTAGATAATTTTCTCGATAACCTTTTCAATTTTGGATCATTACAATATATCAGTTGGTTTTATTATGGAAATGAGATTTTGGTTGTTAACCAATGGCGAAAAGTGACCAATATTACCTGTGATGTACCCGAATCATTGAACGATATAAGCTCCATGATGAGTGCAATGGAAATGTTCAACTCCAACGATTCAGCTATAAATCTACATGATATTATCCCTCCAGGATTAGGTTGTGTTCTAGATGGTGAAGGTGTTATTAGAAGATTGAATTTCGACGAAAACAATGTAGTCCGTAATTTCATCGCTTTAGGCGTTTTACTTGTCGCTTTTAGATTATTAGCTTTTATCTGTCTTAGTATTAGAGCTCGAATATTACGATAGAACTGTCAATAATTTATCGATCATACTCACCCTTTTACTCCATTTGATTTGTATAATAATCGACTTAAAATTCTCGTCAAATATTTTAGTCATTCTTAATTGTGTAACTTTTTTTTATTATTTGGATGATATTTGAATAGAATCCTGTCAAATATGTTATGGTTAAAATTTTCTTATTCGAGAAAAGAAAAACTTGAATCAATTGTTACTCTGAATTTAATTAAAATTAAAGTAAGGTCACAAATGATAAAACTATAAAAAGAATTTTATTTAAAATGAAAAATCGAACATGAAATCTAACCAAAAAATATTTTCGACTCTTCAAAAATGCGAAATGCTAAGTGACAATTTCTCGCCGATTGGTGGATGATGATTAATTGGACCTTTGAACGCTTTCTTGCAATACACGATTAAAGTAGCGAATGATAGAATATAAATTATTCCTAAAACACCTAAATAGTATAAAAAGATGATCATATTGTGAGACATTAGCGATGCGACTATTGCAGGATGAAACGATTCACCGATAATGCCGATTGAAAAGATGATCGAAGTTACTCTTGAAGTGATTCTCATGTACTTATTCAGAAGACCATAAGAAGCGGCAAATACCGGTGAGATTCCAAGTCCAATTAGCGTGAATCCAACCCAGATACAAGTTTCGCTGTTATTAGCCCAAGGAACGGTAATTAAAAGGCCAACCGTTGAAATGATTAAACTCGATAACAAGAGTTTAGATTCTGAGAATATGAAAGTTAATGGGATATAAATAAGTCGATAAAATGAGAAACATGACCAGAAAACGGTCGCTAATAAGACACCCGACTTTTTATCCATGTGAAGATCGGATTTCACCGAAAACGAAGTGGCCAATGAACCTGAAAGTCAAAATATGAAAGACAATTAGTCGAAAATAAATAATAAAATCGTAATTAACTAACCAATAACAAGCTCAAACCCATAAACTGCATGGCCAATGATCGTTACTAAAGTAATTGCAATAAAAAGTTTCCATTTATTTTCATCGTGTTCGATATGTTGACCTGCGGGTTTACTTTGCACCGAAGGAACTGACGCACGAACAATTTTTTTTTCAGTAAAGTAAATGATAAAATATGGAATCGACGAGATTAGTCCAATAAATCCAAGAATTAAGAACGCAATATGTATCATAACATCATCAGGAGTGTACAGAATTGGAGTTGTTATTGGGTCTGGAATAATTGATGACCCATTTGCGATGGTATTTGAACTTTCAATACTCTCTTGCGATGGTAACAGGAAAGGTCGCGCAATAACGGGTGCGATCAATGAGCCCATTCCACCGCACATTTGAAGTGCTTGTAAAAAGTTGGTACATTTTTCCTTCCATGTTCGTGTCAATAAAGTGTTACTCACTTTTAATGGAAAAGGAAAATTAATCAAACAATCCAAATTGAATAATATTCAATTATTAACTTACATACATCAGCTATTCCATAATTAAGTCCAGCGATGAAAATACAGGACCCAACTAATTCAAACTTGACCAAAAGTGGTGCCAATCCACTGAAAAGCCCTGCAGCAAAACTGGTGATTGATAAAACGAGAGATTCATTGAAATAAGAGCCAATGAGACCAGCTACAAGACAATGGAAAACGATTACCATCAATCAAGAGACAAATTAATAGTCGACTTACCAATTACTGTCCCCAAAACATGGCCTACACTTCGAAGTGTCACAAGTAATGAAATTTTGGTAAAATCAGTTGACGAAAGGATCTGTAGGTCCAATAGTCCTGAACCAAGAAGACCCGTTGAACATCCTATCGTAAAGTAGGTCAAGTAAATAGCAAAAGTTTTAAATAATTTGAAACGATTTTCGTACACAAATTTTGAATATTTCATTTGTCCTCGAATAAGATAAATCAAGTAACTAGTTAATACCAAATTTTTTGATGAAACTAATCAGCTACTCCACTTTAACAGAATACAAATAAAGTAAACTTCAACTAACTAAATATAATCACCTTATCCACAATTAAGATTTGTATCACCTAATAAAAACGATTATATAAAAATATCTTGATATTCATTTACCGGTATCACGATTTTCATTTGAATTAATACATAACACAGAAATACATTAAAGTTTCACATGAAGTTACAGCATGTTAATAGAGCTGATGAGGTTTGTTTGTATCTTTTTGCTCCTATTAACAGTTAATCAATCCAGATAATCAATGGTGATAATCATTTCAATTTGTAGACAATTAAAGATCCGTAAATTACTATTAATAAATATTTCTTTCATCAGATATGTTGATCTAAAATTTGTCTTTTACAAATAAAATGTTTTCAGATTTTCAAAGTTTATCAGAATTGAATCTAATCTATTACTCCATAGACTTGAATAATCATGTGGTGATCATGTATTAGATTATCATCATTAACCTTTTAATGATGATTTTATAGCAATTGAAACCAGAATCAGCTAGTTCCAAATAAACATTGTGCTCTAATTTTTATGTTGTAAATTAATCAACTACCTATTTGATTAAACGAAGTAGCGAGTTAAGAACAACGGATAAGCTTAATCATCACAATAAAGATGCAATAACTTAATTGCATTGATCATCTTTCAATTAATCTAATAGTTTCATCATTTATCAATGATAATTATTAATATAACTTTCATTTTATCGTAAATAATTTATCACATCAAGATATTGATCTATCCTTGGAATTTAAGGTGTAATAATCATAAAATTAACACGCTGAGTTGATTGATTGAGATTAATCAATTTTCAATTCTATTGAGCCACTAAATTTAATCTTCGGAAACCAACATACATATGTAATTTATTGATCACTTTAATTTAGTTCAAGTCAAGTTTGATAGTAGTAACATATTGATAACGATAACGGTAACGAACAACTTTTTCAACAATTACGAAAAGTTTGTTAAGCAAATAATAATGGAAGATTCTAAATGTAATTTCATTTCGAATCGCTTGTTTAGTCCTAAATTCTGGGCTAAATCGATGGGTAATTGGATACTAATCTTACTTGTAGGTGTTTGTAACTCACTAGAAGGATTAGTGTTATTGCAAACTTTCCTCTCACGGCCATTACCATCATCGAAGCAATTAACGTTTACTTATTTGAAATTATTTTCTTTGTCGGCTGTCACTATCTTCGAGGCGGCATTAATGTTCAAAATGAAATGGTCACTATTCTGGGACTATGGTTACCACTGTGATCAAACAAATGCCCATAAGGATTCAGATTTTATGAAAAAAATGAATCAAAAAAGGAAAGTGAAAGTTTTACTACTAATCGTGCTTGGATTCTTCACTCAGATTATCATTGTTACAAAGGATCAGAACCATGACTTTTTTAGACTTATTATCGTACTTGCATCAATTGGTCACTTTTTCCTACTCGGAATTATAATTGATACTTCAGTTTGTCTTGAAAGTTTATTTGAAATGATTAACTCGTCGATAGAAAATTTCACCTTTACTGGATCTTCGGATACACAGTTAGAGCGTTTAATTGAGTTGAGGAAAAATTATTTCCATACAGTCCAAGCCACGATAGCAGCTGAGTCTTGTTTTCGAGGAGTAATCAGCTTTTATTATATTCGAAATTCACTAGAAATTATCATAACAGTTTTCGTCATTGTGACCTCGTATGATTTATTTTGGGTGAGAAGGATTTGCGCTGATATGTTGGTAGTTATCTTTGTTACTTCTAACTTGACCAATGTCCATGTTACTTCTCGAAAGGTTCTTGAAGATCTGTACGAGCTTGCGATCAAAACAGATTGTGTTTCAATCGGAGATGAGGTAAGTAACCGAATTTACTTTAACTTTTGTTTCATTTCGTATTTTTTTCAATTCATAGATATTTTATTTTCTCCTGCGAATGTCAAAAACTGATATTGGATTTACTTTTGCTAATCTCACGTTAATCTCACCCAATTTCATCACATCTCTACTTACATTTGCAATGACTATTGGAATAGCAATGATCAGCTATGTGGGTAATTAATTATGGGTGAAAAAATCAATTCATCAAGAAAAAAAGTCTGGTTAAATGCTGAATATTATAATAACAATACAATGTATCTATTATCGGACACCATGTTGAGTTGGTAGAAATAATTTCTATTGAAAGTTACTGTTAATCGTTAACCCTTTCACCGAATCCATAGGAAAATCATTGATCCAAATTCACTTCCCGAATAAATCGATTACTGTATCAATCTTAATCATCACTGTCGTCGTTGAAGCAAATTTAGATCTAAATACTGACCAGAGCTAGTTCAATTCGACCATTCAATTTATTTTGGCTCATTTTTCAGTTTAGAACTTTTTTTTGGTGAATATCATGGATCTCGCTAATTCTACTATCATGAATTATTGGTTTTTCCGAATCAAATTTCGTAATAGATCAATATTTGAATGGGTACAAGTTCTCAATGCAATTTGTATCGCTTACGGCCTAAAGTCTGCATTGATTTTAATTTGGACACCAATACCTTCATCCCGAGTTACACTCATTTGGTACCTTAGATTAGTCTTTCATGCGCTTGGAACCCTCATCCAACTCTACGTAGTGTTAACAATTGAATGGCCAAACTTCAGTGACTGTATTTACCATAGTGAACTGATATACGCTCATGCAAATTCAACCAAATTATCTGAAATACGTAAAAAAAGACGCAACAAATTTCTACTCATATTATTTCTCGAATTAAGTTATCAATGCCTCATGCTGACATCAAATAGATTTTTCAACATTGTTGATTTTATCATTTTCTTAACTTCCCGTTGGTTTCAGTTCGGTTTATTTGCTGTTTTGATCGATACATCAGTTTGCCTGGAGATTTTATTTCGAACCATCAGTTCGTCGATCAGTAAGTTACGACGAACGAAACCTTCAAACGTTGCAAGTTTATTCATCTATCGTAAAGTTTACAATTATTCTTTCCGTGCGACGATATCAGCTGAGTCTTTTTTCCGCAACTTGATAACTTTGAATTACTTGCGAAATTTCGGTGATATTATTTTAATAATCTATCAAATTCTGGTTGGCAATAAGTCAATGGAACCCTTGCTTTTCTTTACTGGGCTAACTATTATCACGATTCTTGTTTCGATTCAAATGACTTTCCAATTGAACAATGTCTATGTTTCTTCACAAATATCTACTGAATTTCTGTATGATATTTCACTAATAACCGATCGAAATAATATCTTGATTCATGATCAGGTAATTTGTTGTTCTTTCGATCAATTCAATTTTCTAAAATTCTTTTTTTCCTTCACTTAATAGATACTTTATTTGCTTAATCGAATTTCCAAAAATGATATTGGATTCACTTTCGCTAATCTTGTCTTAATCTCACCAGAGTTTATCACTAATCTACTCACATCCTCACTGGTCATCGGAGTTGCACTAATTAACTGGTCAAATGGCTAAAATTCATAATAATCAATTGTAATGATAAATAAAATAATGATAATAAAGTTACTCTATTGACATTAAAAGTCGTTCGTTTCATATCAATTAATCAACGGGGGAAAAATCTAGAGAATGGTTAGTTAATCAGATAATAGATATTTATTGATAATTTAATATCGGTAAGTTCAGGGCTTGGACAATTTATTTGTCTAGCTTTCGGTTTCAAGTTAACGTCGATTTTGTTATTGATATTCTTCTATGTCCTCGATTTGTGAACTTTGTTCGACACAAAACTGAGACCAACAGTTGGGACAATTTTTGAATTTTCCATATATAGAGAAACCAAACCAGATACCGAGAATGCTACTGATGAAAACGAGAAGTCCAGTGATTGTCCATTCAGGGTAAACTCGAATAAATAAATCGGGATTTAGTGGAGGTTCGACAATGATAACTCCCTTTTCATTAAGATCCTTTCGAAAACCATGTGCTTTCTTGTGAGTATCATAAGTTATCTCGAGACATTCTTCATTTTCGACCGTTCGAGAACATCGTTCGATCATCTGTTGAGATTCATTTATTCTTCCGATGAAGCGATAATCAGGTGGATAGAAACCTCCAAATGGGATAACAACATTTCGGAAAACACCATTGTGAACAGCTGATTCATTATTCATGCAATCAACAAACTGCTTGTATCGATCATAGTGGATACATTCAGATTTAAATGGCCAGGCCAGTCTTTCGGTAACAGATCGATGGAACCTTAAAAATACAATACGCTCTTTGATGTCTGCAGTAACATACCTGCTAATCCGATCTGCAATGCCGCTATTGTAATGAGAGACTCTCAGGTCAAATGGCTGATCGATATTATGATTCAGGTACATAGTGGCTAAGTTGTTTACCAAGATGCCCGAAATGTTATCGGTTAAAGGTTTCGATCCATTTTGACACGAAACTCTCATGAAATAATTGTGTACATTAAAATAATGGTCGATCTTACAATAGCTCGAGTTCAACATTTCTTCAGAATAACCAAAAATTCTCAGGGATAGGATTTTAGGCCTTTGATCGATGGTCATACTCTCAATGTCGCCAATGGTTAAGAATTCTTCTAATATAGAGCTTGTTACGATATTATCTTCAAGGCCTAAGCGAAGACAATTTCGAGTAAACTGTTCAAAAGACTTTATTTGGAGATTCGGGGTTTTAAATACTTTTCGACACATTTCAACAGCTTCTTTAGTCCGTTGCTCGTAAAGTTTACTCATATTGATGACTCTTCTTAAATTTATGACAATGTCAACAGCGGGCAATTCGAAGGGTTTCGAATATTCAAAGGTCACTTCATATCGAACTTGAAATTGGAGGAATTCATGGATTACGCTGAATAGTTGGATAGAACAGCCGATTAAGCAAATCGCCGTTATAATTGGTCGTCTCATCTTAACAGTAAATTGGACAAACTTTCAACTATTTATTCGTATTTTGTTTATCCTATTCTCAGAATGATGATATTAAATCACATAAATTCAGTCATTTTCATGATTGATTATATTGTTTTCTGTCTGCATATAATCAATAATATTATTTAGTGACGATTTGATCCAGTTTAAATTCATTTTTCTACTTTAATCAATCATATATTTTGTTTGTCATTGATCATTCACTGGAACTGATTTCAAACGAATCTTTGTAATATT